GGATAGATTCTGTAACGCGCTGAAATTGTGCTGGCGGAGTATCCCCAGCGCTCTAATCAAGTCCCTTATATTGTCTATGCTACGCCGCCTTAAAGCTTGTATTAAAGCTAAAGGGTGGCATACAAGGTACTAGCTATCGACAATGAAATCCTGCTTTGAAACATTGAAAAAAATGTTGTTTTGGGTGAGTTATCCACCCAAAACAGCATTGCCCAAAATGGTGGTTCGGCGCTTCGGCAGCTTGGCGTTGCAAAACTTTTGACCTAGTACTGTACATGTGAACGAGCATCACGCTCATCATGCCACGGTCGCTAGTAAGAGCAATAGCTTTACCTGTGTTATTCCCCTAATAGTTGGCATGTGCTATTTACATACACATAGTAAAGGCAATGCCCCCACTGTTCGTTGGATTTCCGGGGACGCTGCAGGCTGCAATCACCCGTGGACGTGCACGTGCTAGGGTAATCATTACTCCAGCTCATTCTATATCCATCAACCCATCTCCATCGCAAGAAACCGTGTATCTCGGAATCTCGGTGCAAGCTATTCAAGAACGACCGTAATCAAATATCGATAGTAAATTCCCTAATGCGATGATCACGTCCCTCCAGCCTCTTCGTGAGCAGGTGGCTAGTGCGCTTGCCTTGGTGAGGCACCGCTGCCTGCTATCTCCAGATGTCGCTACCACATTCTGAACTTGAGACTTGCCACTTGTTCTAACCCACCAAGAGGATGTTTTGATGCCGTCCTAGACAGTGAGTTTGGTCTGGGGTCACGTTCTCTTTGTTGTCTACAGTTTGACTGCGAGGCGTCCTGGATCCTTTGTTGGCCGCACGCTCAGTCGTTGCAAGAGCTGGATTTCACCGTTCAACCGTCACCCGCGCATTCACCTTGACTGAAACAGTATGGCTGCGGCCTGATTCGGAACTCAACACGGCCTTTCCAGCGTTCGGCCATCCTTCACCGCTGTACCGCGCGCCTGGATTGCCTACACACCAGATCCGCAAGCAGATAATGCCACCTGCCCTTACCAAAGACAGTATCATATTATCGACACCGGACTCTTCAATGCGGCGGCAAGGCCCAAAGAGCGAGAATACAACACGTCGAAGCCAACCAACCATCCGTCTCTCGGCGACTAGCGACTTTGCACGATCGCATGTAGCTAATTGGTCACCACCAGTACCCATAACGCCAGAGTCGGACGCACTACGAGGATTCAAGAGTGAGTGGAACCGAAAATCCGGGCAGCCTTCCTACGATGGACGCGAATCCGGAAAGAAGCTTCTGATTGTGGAGTTACAAGATTTCGAGATTTACCGAGCGCCAACGAGTGAGAAGAGGGCATACGAATTGATCAGTCTGCACTATCTTGAGATTCCCATTGCTAAGAAATTATGTTTTGACGGCTTCGTATGCTTGGGCGCAACCAAGCATTTTGTGCACGCTGTACCTATTCAGGACAGTTCTATCGAGGGCTACGGGGACCAAGAGGATCCCAACGTCACAACTTACATACAATCAACTCTCGCAGCAAAGGACACTGTGTATGACATCTGGTACAAACTCAACCAGGCCGCTCCGCGCTACAGAGAGTTCCAAAAATCATTCATCTGGGTCGCGCAACTAGGAAAGCATGTTATCGACTACCTGGGGAGTCAGTCGGCGGGCAGTATAGGACTTAACCACTTTCGCGAGGATTTCTATACTTATATCACGCAACAATTTGCTCGGTGTCCAGACTTTGAAAGCTGGCATAGTGCGTTCAGATACCAGACTGACTTTCGCGTTGGCGTCAACGCATATATCGAATACTTCTACAATCAGGCTTTTAATCTCCCGAACTCAAGACAACTTCTAGCGCACCCACTCTGGAGCGAATGCACGGCCAAAGATTTGACAGCTATCGAGCCCCAAGAGAAGGTCATCGAGCAAACTATCGCTACGCCTGAGGTATTTAGTTGCTTTAAAGACATGTATTTCGGCGGGCAACTACGCAAGCAACGTCCGGTAGAAACTATCGCCATCGACCAGGAGCGTAGGAAGCGCAAACTCGGTTTCGCTAAACGTGGATCGGCACAACAGACAACTCGACCAAACGTCTGTAGACCGTACGGGAACTCACTAGTGAAGGTGGGCGACATCGTTGCACTGAGTCCAAACGAAACTGACTCCACGGTTTGGCGCAATACGAACTGGGATTGGCTTGCCTACGTTCAGGCTACGGAGCTTCTGAAAAACGGAGTTCAGAAGTTGTTTGTGCTATGGATCTATCGACATCATGAGACCAACATCTCCACAGCGAGGTATCCTTATGAGAACGAAGTCTTCCTGTCTGACAACTGCAATTGTACCGAAGGGGAGCTGTTGTCTACTGACATCAAGGGAAGGTACAACGTAGACTGGTCACCAACTACGATTGATACCAACCACTTCTTCATCCGCCAGACGTACGTTACTCAGCCAAGCGCTTTCGTAACCGTCCAATCCTCACATAAGACTTGCACATGCCTAAGACCCAAAAGCTCGCCAGAGGAGACTTATTATCGCGGCGACACAGTATACATGGCAAGAGCATTGCACGGAACTCAAATCCTGGATCCAGTCGTTATTCAGCGTATCGATCACGCCAATCAGACGACCACGATACGCAAGCTACTAAGACTAAAGCGTGACTGCGAGGAGCTAGCAATGAAGGCTGGTCGAGTCGACCTCGCCCCAAATGAGCTTGTGCTTACTGACGAATATGAGGTGGTGGCCTTAACTCGTATCCAGAGGCGCTGCCACATCAAGTTTGTTTCCAAGTCAGACATTGTGAATGACCGCATACCATTCACATACAATCGTGGCGGTGCTGGGGATCTTTGGTTTCTAGCTATGGGAATGATCACTAAGGGGCAGGAGAAGAGCCTCGTCTTCCTGCGCAGTCTGCCAAGCAGTTTCCACGAAGGCCCCGATATGACCTCCTCTCAGCCCTTGCGAGGCATGAGTTTATTTAGTGGCGGAGGTTCTCTTGATCGAGGTCTCGAAGAAGGCGGTGCAGTCGTCTTCAAATTTGCCGTTGACTCTAGCGAGCATGCTATCCACACTCTGCGAGCGAACTCAAAGAACCCAGAGGCGATGTGTCTGTTTTGTGGTTATGTTGACGATCACTTCAACGCAGCTCTGAATGGCAGCAGACCAAAGCTCGTCCCCCGAGTTGGACACGTTGATCTCATCGCTGCCGGAACCCCATGTCCTGGTTTCTCAACCATGCAGCGAAATTTTCTTAGTGAGCCGTCACTGGAAAACGCGTCGCACATCACCACATTTTGTTCGTACGTCGATCTGTATCGACCCTTGTACGGTGTTCTTGAGAACGTGGTCAATATGTCGTCAACACGTGTGGGGTACGAGAATCAAAACGTATTATCGCAGGTGGTTGCTTGCCTCGTTTCAATAGGCTACCAGTGCAACCAGTACATCATGGATGCATGGAGTTACGGTAGCGCGCAACAACGCTCGCGCTTGATTCTTACTATAGCAGCCCCAGGCCTCGAACCGATAGCGCAACCGTGGCACACACATTCACGACTATTTGAGGATACTGCTGGGAAAAGCCTCGGTCGTCTACCCAATGGAGAGCGATATGGGCAACGAGAGTACTATCCCACGCCCTTTGCGCACATACCTGCATCGACTGTAAGTAATGGGTTGCCTGATATTGGAACAGGCGTAATCCAGACCTGCATTCCGTTTCCCGATCATAGAGTGCCAGGACTACCCACACGCAAACAACGAGCACTTATTAAATGTATTCCGAGACAACCACCGGGCTGTGGTTACAGAGAAGCTGATCAACGCGGCCTCATTCCGACGCTTCTAAGGGATACAAGGCCCGATGCTGGAAGGGCTTACAGGAGGATCAAAGCGAAGGGTCTGGTACCATGCATTACGACGGGTCTTGCTAGCCAAAACTCTCACAACGGCGCAGTATTACATTGGGACCAACATCGGTCAATCAGTGTATTAGAAGCTCGTCGTACGCAAGGTTATATGGATCAAGAGCCGATTATCGGCAGTCTCATCAAGCAGTATGAGATCGTTGGAAATGGGGTGGACCGTAAGGTTGCTTTTGCAATAGGATTAGCTTTACTTCAAGCTGTTCGGGAAAACGACTCAGGATTTACAGCGAACGGGACGACACAAAGCTCCACGGAGATAATCGGTTTTCCCAGCGACACCGCGCTCAAGTCAGATCAGGGTATCAGTTTCAAGGCCGATTCCCAATCTATCGCACCCGAAGGATCACCACTTCCGAAGGAACAGCGCAACGAGAGTACTAAAGAGGTAGTCATGATGCCCAGAAAGTCGCGAACCGTCCAGACCATGCATGATGATAGGAGCAGTTCGACACCGTCCAAAAAAGATGCAAAACTACCAGATGGACCCGCACATAATTTTATACAGGCCCCTACGCTCTCACAGCCTAGTGGCTACGATCCACAGAGCACTGGCCTCTTTTACCGTCTTTCCAAAAGCCTGACTTCCAGCATCGGTAGGCTATCGTTGTCAACCATGGTATCTTCCGGACCAGCTATGATACCAACTTCCATGAAGCGCAATCGAGAAGATGGCATAGAAGACAGCACCATGGAAAGCGAGAGCCATCTGTCCGAGGAGCGACCCCGGAAACAGCCACGTGTTAGAGAAAGACCATCGATAGACAATACCACTGCTAGTGAAGCAGAGAATAGTAGTAGAAATTCTGTATTCTCACATCGGCATAGCAGAGGAAGTTCGACTAGCTCATCAAAAACTCGCCAAACTCGTCATTCAGGATTGTCCGTGGAATTCGTCCCAAAGAACTGGAACAGGAAACCCGAGTCAGAAAAGCATAAGAGGGTAGATGGAAGAGTCTGACAAACGTGAGGCATTTTTGTTAGCTATGGCCAGGCCAGGAGACGCTTCGTCGTCTCGTCTTGTATTTGAGAACTACATTACAAGCTTGACATAGACCTCTGTAGACATGAAATCTGCGAAACGTCGATGTTGGAGCAGACGCTCACTTCCATTCAACACTCCAAGTCATTTCACCCTTCCTGAAAGGCACAACCTCTACATCTCCGCCACCCTCCTTCTTCAACACGTCCAAGACCTTCTCCCCACCCTTCTTCAAAACGACCTTCTCACCCCTCTTTTCCTCAACCTGGTAAAACTTCCTTCCCCACACCCCAAAGAAGCCCTCAAGAACCTCCTTGGTCACCTCACTCTCCTTGATGACTCCCCTCTCGATCCCCGTCTGAAGTGCATCCAATACGTATCCCAGCGCATACGGCTGAGTGAACACACCCGCAGCAACCTTATCCTCGCCCCTCTTCTTGCCCCGTGGATGCGGCGCCGAATCCGTCCCTAGGTAAAATTTCCCGTTGCTCTGCACAACAGCGCGGAGTAACGCATCGCGGTCCTCGGGCGTCTTAGCAACAGGCTTGCAGAAACAGAATGGGTCGCCCGCCCAATCATCAATGATGAGACTAAGGTGGTGTGCGGTGATAGTACCAGACACCGAGGGGCCACAGGAACGGACTGCATCTAGAGCGGCGGCGGTGCTGCAGTGCTCGAGGATGATGCGGAGTTTGGGGAAGCGCTTGTGCAGGGAGATGAAAGTGGGTAGGAAGGCGGGCTCGGCGTTGAGGATGGTGATGGCGCCTGTCTTTGTGTCTTTGGTTGATGAGACGTGGGTGCCGGCTGGTGTGGATGGGACTTCGCCGTGGAGGTTGAGGACCATGTTTTGCTTTTCCATCTCCTCGAAGACAGGGTAGAAGGTCTCGTAGTCGAGGACACCGGAGGACGAGTTCTGGAACGATGAGTTATTCGATGCATGCATGTGTAGTGTCTAGCGTTTTGCATTTGATGGCTACATTGGTTGTAGATAGGTGATGGGAGTTGCACGTACCGTTGTAACACCTGCCGGGTAGGACTTCACACCTGTGATTCCCGCTTTCTTCGCTTCACGAATCACCTCGGGTGTAATATCTTCGTGGAGATACAAGGACATGAGATAATCCACATTCGGTTCAATTGCCCGGAGACGGTCGCGGTACTCAAGGCACTGCTGCACGGACGTGATGGGTGGAACAAGGTTAGGCTATAGTAGTAAGCATATGGAAGTTGAAGAAGCACTATAAGCATCTTGTGAAGAAAGGGGAACACAAAGATAAGAACAAAAAGAATAGACATGGCAAGGGGGTAAGCAGTAAGTAAAACAAGATAGAGGGATCAAGACGTGAATCGAGACTTGACTTGAGTATAAAGATTGTTTGTGCAAAAGACGCTAGCTTACCATGACATACACCTGATTCACACCACCCTTGCGAATCGTAGGTGTGACGAGCTGCGACATCTCGCCATCACGGAGATGTACATGGGCGTCAAAAGCCGCTCGTAGCTCAATCTCGGTCAACTTGGTGAAGTTCATGTTTGGCTATTGGGAACTCTGCTTGTGGGGTTGTTGTTACTACTGCTGGAAAATCGCCCGCTTTTTGGCGAGATCGGGGCGCGGAACCGCACTAGTCCGGAAGTAGGATGCACTACCGTCTGCAACTTGATAAATCTCACCTACGACCATTCTTGCTCTGCATTCGTCCTCATCGCAGCCACTGGTGATCTTGATATGCTACTTATTATTCTATGAAGTTTATTCATTCTTTGTTTTCTCTATGTAGAGGACTCCTTACTGGAGCTATCATCACTATCCGAGTCTGTGTCGTCGTCATCGCTGTCCGAGTCTTGGTTGGCGGCTTCGGATTGAGCATCTGGCTCGTCTTCAAACTCCTGGCCCATGGTATTCCATTCGTGATGTGGGTGCAGCACATGTCTATTGGCATAGCACTTGTAGCAAAAATCGAAATCCCAGCATTCTCTGCACTTGTAGCGGAAGCCGCTGACTTTCTGTGACTAGGCATGAGTATCTTTGTTAGAAACACAGAGAAAAAGGATTGGACTTACGAAGAGACAACCATCGCAGTAAATATACGGCCATGCATCAAAGGCCTTTTTTGATTGGTGAGAGATTTGATCCCATGCCATGGTGTCGTTGTTGACATTGTTATTGGGCGTCAACAGGTGTAAAGTCTCTTGCTTGGCACCATGGTAGTTGGCCAGCTTGAGCGGCGATGACTGCTTGCCATCAGGCCCAACGGTGAGAGCGCAGATATCGGCGCCCTGGTCGATGAGGAAGACGACAAATTCATGCTTGCGCTGTTCGCGCATGTCCTGATCGACTAGGTCGGAGTGGCGGTAGTAGGTGCCTCTGGCGGCGTAGTGCAGCGGAGTCCAGCCGTCGGCATCGGGTGCATGGAGTAGGCCATTGGTGGCCTGCAGCACACAACGGAGCAGATGCAGATTCCCACTCACGATGGCGAAATGCACCAGCGTGCGACCGGCGTTGTCACGTGCGTAGAGATTGGCGTTGGCGTCACGCAGGACGGCAAAGTTGGCCGTGGTAGGTCTAACGGCGGCGAGGTGAATGGGGTAGCGGCCAGCCTGGTCACACGTGTCCGTCGTCGCGCCGAGACGGAGCAGGAATTGCAGGACTGGAGCCGTGGCGCGGTAGCTACCGGCGGCTAGGGCCGACCCGTAGAGTCCGCCGGTGGCGTTGACGTCCATTGTGGCGGTGTCGGAAACAAGGCATTGCAGGACCTCAAGTATCGTGCGCTCTACGTCGTCGTCCTCCTCATCCACACCGACAACCAACGAGCGGCCGCAGGCGGCCTGGGCGGGTGAGCCATGGTAGGAGGCGATGAGATTAACATTGGCGCCGGCGTCAACCAAGAGGCGGACGGCAGCGGGAGAGGCCTTGGAGCAGGCCAGGTGCAACGGGGCGCCGGTGTTGAGGGCATTGTCATTGGCATTGGCATTGGCGCCGCGCTTGAGCAAGAAGCGCGCAATGTCCAGCTTGTCCTTGTCAATGGCCTTGTGCAGTGGCGTCCAGCCGGCCGTGTTGGTGGTGTCGACGTTACTGCCGGCATGGACGAGCAGCTTCATGTCGGCCAGCCGGACGGTGTCGCGTTCCAGGGCGGCGTTGAGGGCCGTGTCGCCGTCGCGGTCGGTCAGGCCAAGGTCAGGCTGGAACTCGAGCACCATGCGCAGCAGGTCCGTCGTGTCCATGTACAAGACAGGATGGATGCCGCTTGCTGGCTTGATGCTGGTATCGGCGCCGGCCTCGAGCAGCACACGCGCCGTGTCGCCATGGCCGGCATTGAGGGCAGCGAGCAGCGGCGTGAAGCCGGACAGCGTGTCGTCGTCGTCGTCGTCGGCGGGGCGATAGGGCAGGTCGACGTCGGCATGGTGCTCGACCAGCACCGCCACCACGTCCGTCTGGCCCCATTCGGCCGCGAGGAACAGCGGCGAGCGCTCGCTCCCGGCCACGACTTTATCAACGGATGCTCCGGCCTCGAGCAACAGGCGCGTCACGGCGGCGCTCTTGTATGCGCCATGCAGCGGCGTCCACAGGCTGCACACATCGTTCACCTTGGCGCCTTTGTCGAGCAGCAGCCGCACCATGTCGACGTCACCTTCCAGGCACGCGCCAAACAGCGGCGAGCTCCCGGGCGTGCGCAGGTTGACGTCGGCGCCCTTGTCCACCAGCCACTCCACCATGGCCCGCCCGCCCTCCTGGCTCACAGCCATCTGCAGAGCCGTCGCCTTCTGCTCGTCATGCCGCTTGTTCACATCCGCCCCATGCTCCACCAGCAGCTGCACCATGTCGAGCCGCTTTGCTTTGACGGCAAACATCAGCGGCGTGCCGCCTGGGCATTCGTGGTTCGCGTCGCTCTTGAACCGAAGCAGCTCTTGAACACACTGCCACGCGCCTTCTTGGATAGCCGTGTGCAGCGGCGGCCACGATTCGCCATCGCCCTTCGTTTCCGTCTGCGCCCCGTGTTCGAGGAACACGCGTACGGCGGCGTGCGCCCCTACGCTACATGCACTGCTAATGGCTCCGCCGTCGTCTGCGTTGGGGGGAGCGCCCTTCTCGAGTAGCAGTCTAATTATGTTGGCATTTCCCCACCGGGCCGCCGCATCCAGCACCGAATTGTCATACTCGTCGCGCGCCGTCACAAGGCTTTCATCGTGCATGGCCACCAGCTTGACCACCTCGACGTGGCCGTTGCGTGCTGCTATGTACAGAGAGCATTGGCCAAACGGCGCTCCCTCGCTGCCACTGATGTCGGCACCCTCGTCCATCAGCGCCTGCACAACCTTGGCATGGCCATTCCATGCCGCCCGGCGGACGACAAAAGCCGGCCATATGAATGATGGCACTGCCGTCTTGCGAATGTGCGACACAACATCCACAAGCACGTCCTCGTCTCCCCCCGAGCAAGCTGCTTCGAGCACGTACTCGGCCGTTGCCCTGTCCAGCTCCACTGACCGTAACAAGTGAAGCACCAAACTACCATGTCTGTTTCTTGCCGCCTCGGCCACAGCATACGGAAGCCACAGCTTTTGCTCGGCTTCGGACATGCCGTTGTCTTGTATCCATCGCTCATATACATCGTCCAGGCCCATGGAAGCCACGAGCGGTAGTGGGCAAACATAGGTGCGATCCACCCGAGAAAACGGATTCGACATGAACCAATGTGCCATCTGCCAACCCCGTAACACTGCCTTGCTCTTGAAAAACTCCACCACTTGCGTTATCAAACGACTCCTGTTGGATGCAAGTCGATAGTGCCGATCCCAGTAGCACACAGCATAGGTGGCTACGTCTACCCGGGGCCGGACACATGGTGTTGACAGAACACCATGCCGAACCTCGCATACCGTATTCAAAGCATCATGGGCACTAGTGGTGCCCAAGAATGCAAGGCAGGCTTCTGCCATTATTTCGTGTGCAGTCGCCTGGACATGATACCACTCCTCCTTGTCACACTGGAGAATCAGATTCTTTAGCTCTGCATGTTGGAAGCGCATCTCCTGCGGGTTGGAGAAATCAAAGATTGGGATGCCAGTCAGCGTATTCATTGCCCCCATACCATCTGCATCTTGGGTCGATTCAGATATGCCAAGTACTGAGCGCAGTTCGCCAATACTAAGGGGCCGAAAGGCAAATACGAGCCAGGTAATGGCCCTGGCCACGAGACTGCGCTTGGCTTCCGGCACGGCGCGCATAGTCTTCCGGAAGAGAACTTCCAAGTTCACTTCCGGAAGCCTTTCCAGGGCATTTGTGAGAGCATCTAAAGAGGGGCTGTTCTGGACATCTTGAACGAGGAGCCGGGTCAGGCCAACATCATTACCGCATTTCCTCAACAGACCGTCTCGGTATCTACCGATTGATAGTGTTGATGCGTATCTGGCATCGAGCTGATGCAACGCGTAGTCAATCTCATCCCTGACACAGGGATCGACATCTTCCAGTGAGAATTCATCCTCGAGTACAATTGTCGGCGAGCCCTTCAGCCACTCATCGAGCGAGTCTATCGACTTGGTCATGATCAGGAATTTCCATGGCTTCTCCCATGATTCTGACATTTCGGCTGCCAAACGCCAGAACGAAGAGAGCTTGTCCGAGCATTCATCCAGGTTGTCAAGCACAAAAACCATTTCTCCCTGGCTGTAGAAGTATCGAATCCTGCTCAATAACAGAAGTAAGTCGTACTCAGTAAGAGTGCGCTGTGCTAGAAAGCGAGACATATTGAGCCCCAAGTCAAAGTCGGATTTGAGAACCTCTTCCGTCCTTACCCACTGTGCGGCCATGGTTGAAAGGAATGCCCATGTATCCTTGTAGCGGTCATCGCCCCCATCAAATGAGAAGTAGCTCCGAATTCCATCATCTGAGGAATTCTTCACTATATCTTCGAAGACGAATCCAGAAAGCCATGGGCTCGGACTTTGCCCATGGATAATCAAAACATTGGAATCAGTGCTCTCCCGCCAGTTGATGTATTGTTGGTTGTTAGCCAGAGGGTTTTTCTGATACCGGTTGAATAGGACTGGTCGGACCGGAGGCGCCTGTGCCACGAGTGCGTTCATATATGATGATACCTCTGCTAATTTCACCACTCCCTGATCTAATTAATGTTAGTTCAATCATTGCTACCATCTTACCCCTCAGCAGCTTTGATTCACCCTACCTAGCTTGAGCTGATCTTTGAATTCTCTAAACGTCGATTTCAACTCCGAAATCTGCTCTGCGCAGGCCAAAGCCGCATGGGGCTGAGGAAATTCGTATTTAAATACGTTTCCAGTCGCGAGCGTCGCGTCAAATTCATTGAAAATCTGGAAAATGCAAAGAGTTAACTCAACATCATTCAGCCATGCCGTGTGTACTGCATCTTACGCATTCATTTAGGTCCGTGAGGGTAGATCGAACACTGAGGATTTCCGTCTTTAGAAGAGTCTTGGACTCCACGAAAGCCAGATTGCAATCGATGACGGCCCTTGCGAGGCTTTTGATCTGAAGCAGCGAATTTCCCTTGGGTAATTTTGAACCCGAGAAGAAAAGCCGTGCAATCTTCTCTTCCATATCGAAGACGCTATGCCATCTGTGTGGATAGCCGATGAATATCTAAGTCGCGGTTCGTTAGCCAAGTACCATAAGATTGACTGGCCTCAAGGGGTTGAATACAATCCATTTGGTGGACTCGGCGATGTCGGCATATCCTGGATCCATGACGGATTGATACAAAGCCTAGAAGCAGTCATTTGGCTGACACTTTCCATGTGAAGGGCATTTGTTACTTGTTTGACAATCGTGCCTCCGATATCATGGCAAACGAAGACGATCGGGCGGAACGAATCCTACAAGGAGATTATCAATAAGTGCGCGCCTGCGTCTCTCACCCTCCCCCTCCCACAAAAGGTATATACCTTGTCTTTTGCATTCCTTGCCTCTGCAACCGTGCGCAGTAACTTTGATGCCTCCGTAGTGATGGCCTCTTTCGAGAGCGTCTTGAAAGCATCGTAACCATAATTCATCAAACGGAAGTCCAGCTCGAGCTCGAATTCCTTCAGTCCACGGACTGTCCCTCGTTTCGATTCATCCCGCGCTTGCCAAGTTGTCTCACGGTGGCCGTGAAGACCGTGGATGGTGACAACGCTGCTTGGTCAGAACATGGATATGCGCCCATGATGCACAAGCCTCGCCAGATTGACCTACTCGAATTCGTTCACAAACATATGATTATCCTTGCCCTGAAGCCCATAGTCGCCGCTGCTTCCTTCCTCCTCCTCTGCGACAACCGGATCAATCACATCTGCAACGCTGCTCCGCCACCCGTTGGCATCGGTGCCTGGCGCTGGGTCAACATATTCAGCAGGAGACGTGTCGTGCTCGTCGCTTGTCGATGATGATGATGTTGCCGAAGAATGGTCATTATGGTCTGATGCGATGCTGGACATTTTCTCCCCAATCCAAATCCCGCGCGCAGAATGGGAGTCGGTCCAACAGGCGTGATCGTGCTGGAAATCGCAACAGCAAAGCGCGAAGCGAGGGGCTGATGTGCGCCTTCAAGCCCAACTTTCACCACATGGTAGCAGTCATGCGTGCCGCGGGCAGCACAGCCGCATTTACACCAGCGGAACCCTGTCTATGTCTAGTCATAGCTAAGCGGGGGCCGTTGGGGGCGGAAACTCGTCAGCGTGTGATGTGAGGGTTTCGGTAGGTGTGTCGTATGTATCGCTATCTATGCTAGATGCTGACGTGCATGAGATGACCGGGGCACGCCATTTGTAGGCTTAGCCTGCCAAGGCTAGTCATGTGACATGTGATGCCTATGCAGAATCTAGCTGAACCCACAGCACCTCCAGGTCCTTCAAATTCGGCCGACAGCTGAAATACCTGTTCGTACCCTTGGGATTGCGCTGCGAGTATGTACAGTGTAGGCAACGACCTTGGATTCGAAATCGTGCGAGAAAGTGTTCGTGTAAGTGATTAATATATAACTCAGCATCCGCCCCCACTTTAAATGCATAAAGAGGGCATGGGGTTATCATCTAGTGGGTGATACAGAGAAGTCTGCACCTGCGGGTACATCTCAACCTGGTTACTGCTGACACCCCAAGCTGTGGCTGCTGGCAACATCCCCACTCTCAGTACGATATATGCTCTATACACCGATTTAGAATTCCTGGCCTGCTTTCGATTGCATGAAGCTTGAATGTCCATCTCCGAAACTCCACGGCCACCGCTAAATCACATAAGTGGTACATGTGAACCGCCGCGGCTGCAAGTGTTGTATGTAGCCATCCCAGTGCTATCAAGGATGAGAAAAAAAGTAAGGATTATGTCAGATATGCTCATAACCCAAATCATAACCCAAACTACAACCCAGTTGTGCGTGATCATCCTAGAAGTAGGAAACCCAAACAATGCTACTCATGTATGCACAGGATCGAGAAGGAATCACCTGATACAGCCAACATATTTTTGCAACCTTCAAACTTTGGTAAAGTCATATCTAGTGTCTATATTGGTTCTGCGCGTCAAACTATTCTAGATATGCTTTACTGCAGAGTCAAGCACGGTTTGGAAAGTCACACCCGAGAGACTGCCCAGGTCCACAGATCCAAGTGCGGTGAGATCGTACGTCTGCAATTTGTTGGTAGGAGGCAGCTGTGGATCAAAAAGAAGAGGATCATCTTTGGGTCGTCCCCCAAACAGCCTTTGAAAGCTCTTCTCCATAGAACTTTTAGGATCAGCCTTGGCTTCTATCTTGAAATTGCAGCGAAACGGCTCCTCGTCCTGCCTTTTCAACAAGATTGCCGTACGCATCGTTGATGGTACGCCAGTCTTGGTGGTACTATTCTCAATAAGTGACCACGATGCACTGTCCGCATTCCCAAAAGTCCTTCCTAAAAGATCAATTGAACCAATCACTTTTGTCGCATCAGTAGTTTCTCGGTTGACGCTGCGTTCCCAGCCCAATTCCGCCCCCAACTCTACACCAGCAAGCGGAGGTGCCCCCAGACTGACGCCCGCCATGGTTGTCTTCTCTTCCGTCTGTGTCGTCTGGACCATAACCATACTATCGTAGGGTGCGATCCGAAACACTTCGGGCTCGGGGCCACCGGGTTGCTCAGGTGCAAACTGGAGGGTGATGTTCACCGCCAAAATGCGCCTTGCTGTCTTGCGGCTGTCGAACCTGAAGTTGAGAACAATAATTGTCGCAAATTCTTCGGCATCGGGGCTCACGAGGCCGTGAATCACGTCCAGACAGGTGCAGCGGATGTCCAGTGCCCCTTTACGCTCGGTAACATTGGTACGTTGGTAAGGCGCTGACGGATCGTTTCTGGTGCGAAATGAACTGCCTTCGTCGCCGCCAGGATTTAGCATAATATCAAAAACGTCGTCGTCGTCGTCATCCTCGTACTCCTCTTCTGTTTGCACGAGGTCGTTGTTGGAAACTTCTGCCATAGTCGCGTCAAGATGCTTATGGAGACTAAGGCTGCCTTGGGAAGGTATACATATCGTTTCTCAGGCGCACCCATGAATTATAATATAACTATACTTAGAAAGGAAGCTGTGCTGTGTGGGGGCCATTCCTTAGTCACGAGCCCTACCACACCAATCATCCCCCATTTCAAGGATTGCCCCGCCGCTAAAGCGTAAACACAATATGGCAGCCGTTCCGCCTGCTGCCTGCATCGGGCCAAGCTCTGCAGTGCGCCATCAAATGTGTGCATGCGCTGATTTCCCAGCCCATCTATTTGCTTTCCGGTAGGACAACAAAACTTCGTTCATACCAGACTGTATCCTGCCCATCATGGAAAGCACACGCCTACAAGAACCTGATGAATTGGAGATAGCGAAGGATCATGATACTGATAAGGCTGCCGAAAGCGAGACCGACAAGGAAGGTGACTCCAGTGAGTCGGGAAGTGAGGATGAAGAAGAGCACGAACAAGACATCAAAGTCCAATTCGAGCACATCATCGCCGGCTTCAGGGAGGGCAAGCTGAACATCAAAACCATCACCAGCAACCAGGACGAATACAACTACCTTGACCAAAGGACAAACGACCATAATCCGAGGAATCTTCTGCACATGATTGTAGAGGCAGGAAAGGACAGCGCGAGTGCGCTGAAGCCGCTCGTGGAACATGTGATCAAGCAGCATTGTCACCTCATGAAAGAAACGGACAGTGCTGGCACCACGCCGCTGCAGGCGGCCATCATAGGCGGCATCACTAAACTTGTGGAGTATATGTGCGATGCCTATAATGCCAAGGAGAATATTGATGTCGTTCTGGCGCTTGTGGACTCAAAGAACAACAACTGCCTTCACAAAGCCATGCTCAGCAAGCACAAATATGCGCGCAGAATCGCCCTCAAGCTCATCAAACGAGTACGCAATACCAAGACGCTGGAAGCCCAAAATAACGAATTCAAAACCCCACTTCACATTGCCGTCGAGTGGGAGCGCTGCACAGAATCGCAAATGGACGTCGTGCGCGCACTAGTGAATGCTTGCGACGCTGCTCTGAACGTTAATGTAGGCGCCGACATCGAGCCGTGTCGACTGTCAGTGTATCGATACCACGAGAAGACGAGACAAGCAGCGAAGAAGGCTGAAGCTGGGGCTAAAGACACAAGAGAAGAGCGCAGCGGTAACAGATCGAGCGACAAGACAGTAACCAGCAGCCGAAACGCAAAGGAAAGTTCTAAAAGTGTACCAGGAGGGCAACAGGTGCCAAAAGCCCCAGATCAGGTCCGTCCAGTCCCAACGCACCAGCTCAATCGCTCCAAGGAACAGCCACAGAGCAGACACAAGGAGTCAGCGGCTGAGCAGCAGGATCTCCCAATGAAAGGGATTCAGCGCCAGCCTTCACAACTTAATACATCCGCTGCAAGAATTGCCCATGTGGATGACTCTAAGCCAGGTGGGAAATTATCTGTGGCGATGTCGCCTGCCGTGTCCAAGGCACCGGTCTCGGGTACTAACAAGACATCCAAACATAAAGAAGTGGTCACAGAGGCGACGGCAAATGCAATTCGAGACTTCTTGAAGCTGTATTACATGGGAACCCGAGATGATCACGAAAGTATTGTTTCATTTCTCTACGGGCCAGTTCAAGGTAAGTCGATCAACAGCAGAGAGCATGGAGTGAGTCTAAAGGCGCGACAGAAAAGGAGTTGTACTGGTCATTGGCTGATGGGCCTCCCATCGTTTCATTACAGAGGCTGCAGAAGATGAGTTACGTCAACTTCGAAGATACTCTCAAATACGTGTTGCTCCCCAACATCCGGATAGACAAACCTCCAGCTGCGGTTTCCAAATTTCTCTCAAGGTCTACCGCCAAGGATACAGGCAAAGGTCGGGATGACTACACCGTTATTTTTGAATGGCTTCGTAGCAAGGGCGTAAAGCGAATCTTCAATCTATACATCGACGATAGCGAACAGCCGGCTCACAGTGATGAGACTATTGAAAAAGCTCTCCAGGGAATTGAGGTGCTCAAGGTTTGGGATTGGCAGAGAACGGATCTCAGCTCCGAGGTCATAGCAAAAGCTGCCCCAAATGTCAGTCAAGTCAACCTCTACTGGGGTGGAAACAATGCTGTCCTGCGCAGCTGGAGTGAGTCAGAGGGCCTTAACCAACTGAAAAAGCTTGACACAGTTGTGCTGTATGCGAATCAGGTGTGCATGCTCCGAGTCTAGAAAGGTTCAAGCACTGACTAGGATGCAGGGTTTGGAGACACGAGCGAGAGAGAAACGAAACTTGGATGCATTTTGCGCAAGACTGAAGTACAACAGAAGCCTGCTCATCGAAAGCATCGAAAGCAAGCAGTCCAACGATTCCAAGAACCAAGAACCACTCCCACCAACCATCAAAGTCCAGCGAGATGCATCTCCTTTGAAGAAGACGGAACTCGGGGAGGGACTAACGGCCGCACAAGAGCAACAAAAGGATCAACATAAGTGGCTAACGTGCATGGATGAGTTCGCAACCTTCATTCAGAACGTCGATCTGGATACTTCGCGCTTGAATGGGATTGAGCCGAGGCCAATCGTGGTAGCTCTCATCGACGATGGATTAGACATCAACGAACAATCTGTAGTCGACAAAGTGATTGGAGGCCGCAGCTTCCGCAACCAAAACAATCTTAACGCGCCATACTGGGCAACTAGTGGCTTTCATGGCACCGTCATGGCAAGCCTGATCTGCAGGGTTTGTCCCATGGTCCAGCTTTACGTTCTTCGGCTCGATGAGTATAGTGCCAAAGAGCAAGGGAAACGGCAAATCACGGCTAAGAGCGCCGAAAAGGTACGTTCAACGCCCGTGAGCATATCCCATTGCACCGATTAACTAATCCCCGTCTCAAAGGCCGTGCGCGCAGCTATCGACCGAGGTGTAGACATCATCTCTATGTCGTGGACAATCGAGAAGACGGTTGACAACGAAGCCGACATCAGGAAGCTCGAAATTTCTCTGGACGAAGCGGCTAAGAAGAACATCCTTCTCTTCTGCTCTGCCAACGACCAGGCTACCGACGCCAATGGGAGCCATCCAGCCGCCAACCCAACACGCTTCAAGATCGGTGCCGCGACAGCATGGGGCACCGCCTGGCGCTGGACTCGGGCCTCTCATGTCGACTTCATCTTCCCTGGCGACCGGGTCATCAAAGACCGGCCTGGCAATGTGCCATTTGAGAAGTGCAGCCTAGTCAGCGGCTCGAGCGTCGCGACAGCCTTGGCGGCAGGTTTGGCTGCTTTGGTACTATATTGCGTACAGTTCTCGGTCTATCATCGCAATGCGACGAACCAGCAAGGCAAGGGCGTTACGTTGGAAGATTTCCAAGCTATGAAAACACGTGATCGCATGGCGGAAGCGTTTCATGCAATCTATACCACCAGGGACAGCGATAATAAGTATATTGAGGTTTGGAATACTTTCGAGACAGCACCAAGAGAAGGGGAGGGTAAGGACAAGGATACTAAACGTGAGATTATCGTGACCGTGGCGAACAAACTGATTTCTAGAAGGAAATTAGTTTTTAGGTCTTGAAAGCTACTCTATCTTTAGTGTTCAAAGATGTACTTGTGTAGGAGAAATCCAGGATTCATTAAGATTAACGTGTTTTATAAGCGAGTCGTCCTTACAAGCGAGTCGTCCACCCAACCAACTTTAATCACCTTTAAAAATCAGATTAGTTATACCTTAACGCCAACAAGCTCTATTGCGCTTATCTAAAGCTGATATGCAGCTTACTATATTATCTCTTAATAGCTACTAGATTAAGACTAAGAGAGCTGCTGCTCGCGCGTTTAACGTCCCTTGAATGACGCTACGCGACAGACGCGCTGGCAGGCCTGCACAACACGAATGCTAGCCTAACTTAAAGAAGCTTACCCAGCTAGAGGAGGAGGTAATTGTTAGATATATACTTGACCTTGACTAGCGAGGATTTGGGCCTACGTATACAGCTACGCGCGATATAGCTAATAAGCTGCTTGCTGCGCGTAGTGCAGGTCGCGTTGGCGTCTACTAGCCGCGCAACTTTGTTAAGCGTACAGACAGTCTTACGACGCGTTTTAATTAATTGTATAATAGGCAGAGAGCTCTATGCGAGGACCCTGTGCTAATTAGCTGCTAGTTTAAGCTAGTAGAGGAGACAAAGGCTAAGTACAGTATCTGTGACAAGGACGTCTACAACTTTAACGAGGCTGGCTTTATAATAGGCAAGATCTAGACTTAGCTAGTTATTACAGGGTTAGAGAGGAGAGGCAGGCTAAAGACTATCTAGCCTAGCAACCGCGAGTAGGTAACAGTAATTGCTGCAATTAACGCTGCTGGCTAGACAATCCCACCGTTCCTTATCTTTGCTGGCAAGTATCACCTATCTGCCTAGTACGAGGAAGCAGATATCCCACGCGACTAGGCAATTGCTGTCAGCGACAACGGCTAGACGACTAACAAGCTAGAATTTGAGTGGCTTAAGCACTTTGTTAAGCATACAGAGGGCAAGGTGGTCAGAGCACGACGGCTGCTTATCCTTAATGGCCATGAGAGCCACCACTCTCTTGAGTTTCAAGAGCTCTGTAAGGAGAGCAATATCTACACGCTCTGTATGCCAGCTCACTCATCTCACCTACTGCAGCCTCTTGACGTAGGCTGCTTCTCGCCTATGAAGCGCGCGTACAGCCGTGAGATTAAGGCTCTGATGCGCTACAATATTAATCATATCACTAAGCTCGAATTCCTGCCAGCCTTTAAAGCAGCCTTTGATCGATCGTTTACCTCAGCCAATATCTGCTCAGCTTTTCGAGGCGCAGGCCTAGCCCCTCTCTAGCCAGACGCTGTTCTATCAAAGCTCAACGTGCAGCTGCGTACGCCTACTCCACTAGCTACTCTCGCAGAGCCTCTCTAGGAGGCTCGTACACTAAGCAACGTACGTGAGCTTAAAGCTTAATTAACGTTAATACGTAATCGCGTGCGACAGCATAAGAGCTCATTACTAGCCTTAATTATTAAGGCGATCTACTAGCTTAAAAAGGGGGCTAAGGTAATAATGCTCTTAGCTAAGCTTATGCGCGATTAGATTACCTGCCTTAAGAGAGCTAATAAGGCAGCAACTAAGCGTAGGCAGCGCAAAAAGAAGCAAATATAGAAGCGTAGGACCTTAACAAAGGAAGAGGGAGAGGATATACTAGCTTAAAAGGAGGCTAACTAGCAGATTAAGCATAAACAGCGTTAAGGTAGTAAGCGATTAGGCCTTAGCCGCTAGGCTATTGCACGCTGCAGGAGATGCAGAGAGACTAGGCACAACTTACAAACGTGTAAAAAAGATGCTGTAGATACTATTTAATCTATTATGTTAGCCCCTTTATTCTACCTTATTCTGTTGTTGCGTTGCGTAGCTTTTAAGGTGATTAAAGTTAGTGAGGTGGACGACTCGCTTATAAAACACGTTACAAAGTAAAATCCTGTTGTAAACTCCTCGCGGGTACAACACGCCCTGCTGGCTGACCTTCACCATTCATACAACGATCACAGTATCGTACTATAGAAGATGCAAACCGCAAATGGCACATTCAGAATAATCATGAAGAACAAGTTAGGAACGGTATTTCTACGTAGTGTATTCCTCTAATTCCTTGTTGACATCGAGAGCCACCTTCATACCTGCCGGTTTCCTCACTTCAGACTGAGGTATGATTGCTAACAGATGATCATCGCAGGCGAATCACATTCACCTCCCACTGGTTTTTTCCTGAAACGTATGGCTCTGCTGGAGAGAGACCGAGGATTCCCCAGCCTCCAAATTTGTCATCGGGTGTATCTACCTCCTCCATCGCTTCTCCATTCATGATGTCAGGGATATATGCGGGGGAGGCAACAAGAAAGTATGAGCCAGTACGCCGAAGCACCATGGGTATTGGACAGCCGAACAGTATCCATATCTCGTCACCAGAATTCACCAGGGCCTTTCCTTCCGTGATGGCAAGAGTAGTGGTAGGAACCGTGGTAGGAGTGACTTTCGAAGATATGATAGATGCCAGACATCCGGAGGATAAAGTCTTATGCACCAATTGCATAAAGTTTTCGAAGCGCTCAGTCTTTACACACGTCTCCTGAACTGAATTTGATTCTCCTTCAACGTAGAGGCACTGAAGACATGAGGGGCAAAGACCAAGAGATTTTCGCAAAGCCAGAAGTGCAGCTCTAATCTTCCTTTCAGAATAGTCAAAAACCTCCGTTGCACAAGGAAGCAAATCGACAATGCGAAGATCAGGATTGACAAGAGAGTGACCAAGCAGAACACCGGTGTAGACAACCGCTTCATTTTCGTTGAAGTAGTCGCGAGGTATGCGAAGCTCAGCCATAGCTGGGCCGGTGAGAGTGAATGCAAGCTTTTTGATATCGTCATAGTGGTATACGGCAGACTCTACGGTAGAAACGAATAGGTTTAACAAAACCCAGAGTGGAGTCAAGGCGTTATTGGTGGTTGAGAGCGTTTGATCGACCGTAGCGTACTTGAAGCCCCTAGCGTATAGAACACCATCATCCATATCGCCTTGGAAAGGTGTACCGTACATAGGTAAGTCTCCGACAGCATGGAAGGCGCTCAGGAAATATTCCGCATTTCCCGGAGAGTCCCAATTCGGAGCCCACGAAGGTAAGTCCTGGATATTATCGTTGGGATTAGTGGAGGTTTTGGTCACGGCTAAGAATAAGAGGCCGTTACATTTGAAAAGCAGAAGCCGAGCAACTCTGAGGTACTTTTCGGCAAGGCTTTGTTCGTAGTCCGCCTGGGAACCGTCGTCTTCATAGTCGATGACCAAGTTTAAGACTGCCGTCACCCGATCCCTCGAATCCGTTAACTTTAAGGCTTGTGACTGCCGCAGCATACCCAACATGTAAATCGGGCTCGTACTCAGATGCGGACCCCACTTTCTAGGATCGAGCGCCCAAGCTGCCATTGGCTTCTCAAGCGACCAATCTGGCTCGAGAGTGTATGGGTCGACTGGCACCTGCATTTCCACCATTGCCCGCCAACAGGCTAAATTCCGCGAAGGAGCCTTGGTTGTCGAATCTAGCGGTCTGAATAGGCTCCATGGATCATCAGTATTGAATGGTCCCATACCATCAGTCAACTTTCGGAAAATCTGAAGTTGAAACGCCATCAGGCAATTCCCAGGGATATCTACCCCTCGGCAATAGAATACCAACTCAGGTGCGAACACAAGCTCCTGTTGTATCCAGAGTCTGTTCCAGTACTCATCCTGAAGAAGCGGCAGAAGTATTCTCCAGAACTCGGGATCTTCGCCCAGCTGATCGATTGTTCCTTCCAAGTCAAGAGTCAAGAGCTTTCGAACAACGGGATTCTCTGGAGAAAGATCTATATCGATCCAGGCTCTCACAGTCTTGGACCGAGAATATATTTCTTTCATTAGGTGGACCTGGTTACCGCGCTCTTTGATGTCGCGTTGATTGATGCACACAGCGTCTGCCCAAAGATAACGTACACTGTCCCGGAGACGCACATGCCTCAAAGCGTTTTCCAGCGATTCAGTCACAGGAAATAATTCATCGTCGAGAAATATTCTGCCCTTAGGTGATAATGGATTTCCCCACATGCACGAAAGTGCGTCGTACGCCGGGTCGCTTTCAATTGCCGCAACACGCAATCGGCAATGCAGTGGATCCTCGAACGACCCAGGAAGGAGTTCCAAGATTCGGATATCGCCAGTCGTGTGCCAGCGTCGTTCGCCTTCTCTTAAAGGTGAATACTTGTAGTTTCCAATGTGATGGTCCATCTTGGAGAATTCCTGATGATACTGGCTTTCGATATGTTTGTATCTGCGACGTTGGACTGTGGAATGAATACTGATATGTGGGATACGGCATCATTATACAGCAATATAAAGCTGCACTGCCTACCCACTAGATTGGCCAATGCAGCGACCCCAGCGGCACAGCTGAGGCACAGCAGTAGACATTGGACGAAAAGCTCCCAGTTGCTGTCGAGGTGCTGACCGGAATCTGCACAGCCATCCGCCAATAGCCATTAACGTACAGCCGCTTGCCAATCGGCAGCAAGGCGCCAACAGCATCGTAAATTACGGTTGTAAGATGGCTATATATTTGTTGCATTAGCTGTGGTACACAAAAACTGCATTAAACAGGTGTTTGTAAGGTGTACGTGGATTGAAGTTCGTTTGGTGTGAAAGCACCCCTCCAACGTTGCTTCTTGGGGTTTTCCTCAACCCAGGGATATTATTAGTCAGAAAGCGGAAAGTATTATCCTCTATCTATTAACATGAGCTGAGCAATTTTCGAGTGTAATGTCCATCTTGAATAGTATAACTCATTTTATAGACCCGATTTGCGCTAGCACACTCTCTATGTCCTGGTGGTGGTATCTCATTGCAAATTACACGTTACTGCTTCTCCCCACTCGCTGTCTTCATGCATAACAACCAAATCTAACCCATCTCTATAAACCACCTCAATTCAACTAACAGCAGCATTCGTCGCAACAGGCGCATTTAACAAGCCTGCACTCGCCTCGTTCTCCAGACTGATCTTCATCTCCAGCCAAGAGTAAAAGTTCGGACTCTTGCAAAAAGTCTCGTACAGTCCATCCCTGGCGCGATGGCGTTGAATAGGCCCAGAGCCGCGAAACTTGACACTCGTACCGTGTTTGCTTACGCTGCTCATGAGATCTGGTACATGGAAGCTGGCATATCTGTTGTTGCCGCCTGGCGTCACTATGTTAGACGTTGCGAGGTATCGGTTGATGGGCGATATGAACTGTGCGGTAAGGTCTGCGAAATGGCGACGGATGATAGGACCGAGTTCGCGGGTTTGATCGCCGAGTTTGAGCAGAGTTTCGATCTGCGATACGACAGTCGGGTCTGATTTGAAGAAGCGTTTAGAGGGAGTGTGGACTTCAATACCGCCGCCGGGGAGGTCTAGAAGTGCGTTGCGACTTGATTTGTGGTGGAGCGAGTGATGGCGACGTGTTGGAACTGGGCCGTCAAAGTTCTGGAGATAGAGGATGTGTGGCCGGGCTTTGTGGCTGGCTTCTGCTGCTGCGACGATGCGTTTCAACAGGAAAGGGTTGGTGATGCCGATGACAAATGAGGTTGGGGTTCCACCGTCGATGCCGATGCTTTTGAAGTTGGCTTGCATGGTCATGTAGGGTTTGACCACACCTGCGTATGGCACGGGGCAAATGAGATCGACCAGCGACGAGACGGCTTCGCTCGCCAGTTGTGGTGACTTTGCGATGACGATGACGCTTTCGCAGAGTATCAGCTTCTCGTACAGTACGTAAAGGTCGGTGATGCAGGGCATATAGTGCATGATGTTGTCCCAGGAGCCGATAGGTTCATAGGCGTAGATGGACAAGGGTATATCTGAGATTAGTGGCGTGGGCCCTGGGAGTCCTTGCAGGGGGAAGGCACGATGTGGTGCAATGTCCAAAGTCAGTGTGGTGCCCATGAATGGGAGATGGTGACGTCCCAGAGCTGGAGGCTCCCATGTGTTCATCTGCGAGTGTGCAGATTCTATAGTTGTCGGATCGCTGAGATGTCCCGACTCTGTCATCTTTTGCAAGATGCGATGATGGAAGGAAGTGAAGTTGTGGTGTGAGATCAGAACAAGAGTTCTCTGGTTGAAGCTTCTCTTCATGGTATCATCGAACTCTTGGCGGAAGATACACGAGCCGTAAAAGGTGTCAGCGCTGCCATGAGGGGCATTCGGCGAACTTAGTTTGATGTCAGGCGAATTGTTGGTAATGGCGAAGTCGTAAGAGAGATCCTCGGCTGTCTCTGTGTTCTGTTGCTCAGGGAAGCTAGACGCGTCTTAGATTGGCACGACACAGGACTGGCTGATTCAGGTACCTGTTGAAGCATATAGCACTCAAGTCGGCCGTCGTAAAGGGCACATCTGGTGGGTACAGTATCTCGATTTCTGGGCTACCAAACTCAATACATTTCTCATAGACATGACACTAGCAATTACCTACCCGATATCGACATTGAAGTTGCAGACGATACTGCTGCCGTAAGCACTCGCCACTCAGGGCAGAGACATGCAGGACTTACAAAGCCACAGCCCAGTGCTTGAAGCCGCCAGTCGCGATGGGCGAGACTTTTGGTTCCTTTAGTTTTTCCATGTCTTCCTCTCGCTGGGAGCGACGGTGAGGCTTCAGAAACTTATTCTTAAACCTGTCCATGGACCAGCTTGTGGCACCTGACAGGTGCAGGTGAACTGCGAGTGAGGTGAGGCGGCGACGGGCAAGGGCGTTGGCCAGAGCGAGCGAGTGACTTGGACAGACTAAGCGCCTAGCGGCAAGGGGAGCTGCCAATCGTCATGACAGCTGTGGTCGTGAGGAAGGGCAGTTGTGCGTCGTCGAGACATGTTGAGATGGGCGTGGGGAGTTTGTTTTGGGACATGTCTCGTCTATCGGCGGGTTCTAGTGGGCAGGGATGGGGGCGCTTGTGTAGGTGTACGATGACGTGCGGGCCCGGCTCGCATGCATGGTTCGCTCGGCTGCTGCTGGCTGTATCGTGAGCGAGCAAACACCAACATACGCGACCACCGACCCCGACCCCGACCCTGACCCCGCAGCAAAGCATAGAGCGCAAGATGCGACAAGCTGCCTGCTGCACCATGTAGATTTGTCCCCCACATGTAGAGTTGTCCCCCACCATGGACGTCAACATCACCAAAGCCCTCAATGACAAGCTCTACGACAAGCGCAAGAGCGGCGCGCTCGAGCTCGAGGGCCTCATCCGGGACGCTCTCGCCGCCCAGGACCACGACAGGATAGCCCGCATCGTGCACCAGCTCTGCCACGAGTACGCTTATGCGGTTCACCAGCCCCACGCCCGCAACGGCGGTCTCATCGGACTCGCGGCTGCCTCGATAGCCCTGGGCCCAGAAGTCGCCCGCTATCTCGAGGAGATCGTGCCCCCCGTCCTGGCCTGCTTCGGCGACCAAGATGCGCGTGTCAGGTACTATGCATGCGAGAGCATGTACAACATCGCAAAGGTGGCCAAGGGCGAGATACTCGTCTACTTCAACCACGTCTTTGACGCGCTCTGCAAGGTGAGGACATGGCTACCGCACAAACTCCCCTCGTGAGACCAGGCTAACACGGCCCGGACCGTCCAGATGGCTGCAGATTCAGAGCTCTCTGTCAAGAACGGGGCAGAACTATTGGATCGCCTGATCAAAGACATCGTCTCAGAGTCAGCCGCCAGCTACGTCTCTGTGCTACACGACACACCCGATCAGGACGACCCCGAAGACGAACCCCACCCGTTCGCCTTCAACCTCGAACGCTTCCTGCCCCTCCTCGAAGAGCGCATCAACGTCTTGAACCCCTTCACGCGCTCTTTCCTCGTGGCATGGATCACCCTGCTCGACTCCATACCCGATCTCGAGCTCATCGCCCACCTCCCACGCTTCCTCGGCGGCCTCTTCAAGTTTCTGAGCGACAGCAACCAGGATGTATACACCATGACGCAGCAGGCGCTAGACCGATTTCTTGCTGAGATCAAGAAGATTGCACGCATCAAGAAGGGTATAGCCGACAGCAAAGGGGGCAACGAGAAACTAGAACGCAGGCACTCTACGGGTAGCATCCATAGTGGAAGCGAAGCGACAGACAGCACGCCCCTCGAGCTCGACAATTCCATCGACGAGAAGGGCGATGCAAGTGGAGAGAGTGCTTCTGTCTCCGGCGACAGTGGAAGGTCTGTCAACGGAGACGGAAACTGGATACCTGGCCAGGACGTGCACGTCGACCATCCCAAGATTCTTGAGATCCTGGTTGACTTTTTGGTTCCCCCACCAGACACGGAAGAAGAGCAGACTGAGATACTGCTGACAGCACTCCGCTGGATTGACAACTTCTTCGACATATGCCCAGAAGACATCATGCCGTTTGTCCCAAGTCTCTTGTCCCACGTCCTGCCACGAATGTCACATGAAGTCGACACCGTTCGCAAGGCTGCAGTCAAGGTTAACGCTTCGTTGATGGACTATATCCTGTCATTGTCTGATGACAACCGCCCCCGCGACGGTGCTGCAGGTGGACAAATCCAGCTACCTCCTTCCCTATCTGAGCTAGGCAAAGAGCTCACTGGAACACAGCGGCGAGATTCTAATCTATCTGGCCGATTGCTCAAGGCAGTCATTCGAGATCAAGCCAACAAGGCTGAATCGCCCGATGGCAAGGGCACACGCTCCCCCACACCAGCAGAAGAAAGAGGCACATCGCCGCGTCCAATACCAGAGCTGGACTACCAAGCTGCTGTTAGTGCTCTGACCCTGCAGTTTCTAAATGAACACGAGGCCACTCGCGTTGCGGCCATAGCATGGCTGATAATGCTGCACAGGATGGCACCTGGCAGAGTAAGTACAGGCTTTTCGGTAACAAAGTCATTGCTGACAATCTGCAGATACTGACAGTGGACGACGGTACCTTTCCTGCGCTGCTCAAGACCCTTTCTGATCCTTCGGATGCTGTGGTCACGCGTGACCTGCTACTTCTGTCACAAATATCCCTGCACAGCGACGATACATACTTTACTTCCTTCATGGTCAATCTCCTGAAGCTGTTCTGTACGGACCGCCGACTTCTTGAGACCCGTGGCAATCTCATCATCAGGCAGCTCTGCATAACACTGAGCGCAGAGCGCATATATCGCACCATGGCTGATTGTCTTGCGAAAGATGAGGATGTCGAATTTGCTAGCATCATGGTCCAGAATCTCAACAACAATCTGATCACTGCACCAGAGCTCGCCGATTTACGAAGACGACTCAGGAATCTAGACAATAAGGACGGACAATCTTTCTTCGTCATTTTGTTTAAAGCGTGGTGCAACAATGCTGTGGCCACCTTCTCACTGTGTCTTCTTGCCCAAGCTTATGAGCAAGCATACCACTTGCTCCAGGTTTTGTATGTTTGGCCCTGTGAAATTATATAGGACAGCCTGCTAACCCTACCAGTGCGGATCTTGAGATGACAGTCAACATGCTCATACAAATCGACAAGCTCGTTCAGCTCTTAGAATCTCCCGTCTTCACATGTAAGATCTTCGACTCTTCAAACCCAAGTATTCCCGCTAACAGTACTGGCCTAGACCTTCGAATGCAACTCCTCGAGCCGGAACGGTACCCGCATCTCTACAAGTGCATGTACGGTCTGCTCATGCTACTGCCTCAATCATCGGCTTTTGCAGCGCTTAAGAACCGCCTCAACAGCGTCTCGGCCATCGGCTACCTGCACATTGCGCCGCAACGCAGCAGCTCGACGTATGTTCACCCTTCCTCCTCCTCTCCTACTTTAAACCACTTGCGGCAAAAAAGCTCAGAAGTTGGCTCGAACAGCAGTAGTAGCAGCGGTATTCCGTCGTCTGGGGGACCCAGTGCTTCGACATTCGAACGCCCAGGCCGGTTGAAACCCAGAGATGGTCTGGGTGGACCGGAAGCGGGTGGCAGCGTGAAGTGGACAGAGTTGCTGGAGAGATTCAAGCAAACGCAGGAAAAAGCCAGGCGTAGTCAGCGGATGGCCAGCATGGGTGAAGAGGAAGAGGTGCAGGAGAAGATGGGACCGACTGCCCCTACGCCACCTATACCACCCAAACCTGCAGGACTAAGGCCTGGTAGTCCGGCGGGCGCCATGAGGCCACCTCCCGCGCCTGTGCCGCCAGGTCCAGCGCAGGGGCATAAGCCCAGGTCCAGTCTAAGTAACCTGGGGCGATTTGCTGGGGGTGTAGCCGGAAGACGAAAGGACAAGAAGTAAGACTCGATAGTCGTTTCTAGCTTTGTGATTTATGCGTTGGCGTAAGTGGACACAACTGCATTGTGGGCGTTGTCTGGGAGCAGTAATGATGGGTATTTTTCCAAGCATGACTGGCGTAATCTGATCCATCTTCAGCGATGTTTACCCTTCCTGAACCTAATCCCATCCCCGTCTTTCTCCTTCCATGCCGTTGTGTCACCCTCTTTTCCGTCTTCGTCGCCCAAGACCCAAGTTTTGACAATCTCCTTGATCTCGGGCTTCTTCTTCTCCACCCTCTTTGCCTCGCGCACCTTTCTCACGTAACCACTGTAGACAGCCACTTCTGCAACTGCAATACCCAACGACCCTCCCATGCTCAGTCCCAATCTACTTCCCACACTCCAGTGTCGCGCTGCAACCCAGATGAAGACCGCAACACAGACTATCGAAATAAGGATATTTATAATCAAAATGATCTGGCGGTGCACTTCTTCATAGGAGAGGTCGTCTTCTTCACTGGTGGTTTGCGTTGCCCCAAGTGAAAAGGGCTCTGGGGCACGAGGGAAACGCTGGGAGAAGGACTCGCGTGTTGGTGGGGGATGCAGCATGCGCTCATAAGAGAGGGCTTCTTGCTCAGCGCGGAGACGGGCCATCAGGGCGAGGTATTCGGGTGTCTGGGTAGGTTTGGGAGGAGGGGGCGGGATGTAGACTGTTGTGTTGGCGAGGAGGGCGGCGAGGGTTAGGGGTGTGGTTTCTTGGTCGTCCTCTGTGTCTTGAGTATCCTTGGAGACATGGCTCTTGAGCAGCTTGGATAGGTCGATCAACTGGCTGTGGGAGATGGGATTCCCAACTTTGGGTTCTGCCAGCGCAGGCGAGTCGGCGTGCTGGAGTTTTGCGTATCCGTCGGCGGATAGGTGTTTGGCTTTTGCGACTGCCCGGACGATGCCGGGAGTCATAGTAAGCAGGACCATTTTGGATTATCGTGTGTTGTAAGAAACGCTGTCACCTTGTCACCAGGCACGCGGGTGAGCAGACGCGACAGGGATATGCGGAACCCAGGGAAGCTAGCGCTCCGAACGTCATGGATATTTTGACTTGGTCAAATCTAGCCGATAGCTGCGGGCGAATGTCCACCACCACCCTCTTTGCACGCCCCAAAGACGCTGATACAGCCCCTCAATTGCACCCTCTCTTTCTTTTTGCCGAGACAATTTTGAGCTAGACCCTTCGATGACGAGCCGAACACCCCGGCTTGCGACCTCTGTCGCGCGACAGCAAACTTCCTTCTCTCTATCGCGCCGCTCCACATGTCCCAACCGCTCAATACACACCCATAATGCGACGACACCGACGCTCCACCACCCTTCACGGCGGCGGAACCAGTCCTCGTGGGCTGCCGCCGTCAACGTAGCGCAAAATGTCATGTCTTCGCCGCCACCAGATGCGCCCATCAAGATGGACCCTTTCCAAACCGTTGCCCGCGAAATGAAGTTTCTCACTGGAAATATTCGACAATTACTCGGCTCGGGCCACCCGACCCTCGACACAGTCGCCAAGTACTACACACAGAGTGAGGGGAAATATGTACGGCCCATGTTGGTATTGCTTATGAGCAGGGCCACGGCACTTACGCCGCGGGGTTCAAGAGGAGGCATGGGCATCGGGGCCCAGAGCGCCGATATTTCGATAACCAACCCCCGGATCCTGGCAGACGAGAATCCAGATCAGAGTCCCATTAGCAGTATACGACACGACTCGGCGTATACCGCTGAAGACAGCGACATCCTCCCGTCCCAACGCCGCTTAGCAGAAATCACCGAACTCATCCACACAGCCAGTCTCCTCCACGACGATGTCATCGACCACTCCGTCTCCCGCCGCTCCGCGCCCTCGGCCAACATTGAGTTTGGCAACAAAATGGCCGTTCTAGCAGGCGACTTCCTGCTCGGAAGAGCGTCCGTTGCGCTGGCCCGACTCCGCGATCCAGAGGTCACGGAACTTTTGGCTACTGTCATCGCAAACCTGGTCGAGGGCGAATTCATGCAGCTCAAGAACACGGCGCGGGATGAGAAGAACCCTTCGTGGACCGAAGACACAGTCACTTACTACTTGCAAAAAACATACCTCAAATCTGCGTCGCTCATTTCTAAAAGTTGTCGCGCTGCCGCTATTCTGGGAGGTTCGTCCCCTGAGGTCGTCGAGGCGGCGTATCTGTACGGCAAGAACCTTGGTCTGGCATTTCAACTTGTGGACGATATGCTGGATTACACTGTTAGCGAGGCTGAGTTGGGTAAGCCGGCCGGTGCAGATTTGGAACTCGGACTTGCGACGGCACCGTTGTTGTTTGCGTGGAAGGATGACCAGAGTTTGGGCAAATTGGTTGGAAGGAAGTTTTCGCAGCAGGGCGATGTTCAACGGGTGAGTAAAAAGAGTCGTAATTGAGATTTTGGGAGAGTAGGTTCAGGCTGACATTATACGTGACCCCAGGCTCGCGAAATCGTTTCCCAAAGCACAGGGTTAGAACAAACCCGCGCTCTAGCACAAGACTACGTCGACAAAGCCATCGACGCTATATCCTTCTTCCCCGAGAGCGAGGCGAAAACCGGTCTCATCGAAATGTGCACCAAGGTCATGAAGAGGAGGAAATGAGCAAATCTCTGATGCGAAAACAACACATCGGGAATGAGGCCACAAAAGTGATTTCAACGCTTTAGATCTTCGCAGAGGTCCTGTACGAATATCATTTGGTGTATACGGCACGACCACTTACAATACGAGGAGCGTGGTTTTGGAATCTACATGTAGGAAGTCATGTTCATGTGTCGATACGGCAGTACGATGAGTACTTGCATGTCCACTGGTCCATGCTATGTCTGGCGGAGAAACTCTACTTCTGTATATATACATGTTTACGAAATACTAGACAAGTACGACCCAGTTCGTCGGAAGCGTTTAGATGTCATCCTCAAACGGCCGCACGACTTGTCCCTTTTCTTGGAGGTGGTCCTTGACTTGCTTGACTGTGTATTCGCCTCGGTGGAACTAGAAAAGTCGTCAGTATCTTGGGTTACACCTATGCTGTGTATTTTTCTTTTTTTTCAGTGTACTCACCATTCCAGCACCCAACGCAGCATCAGTCTTTGTCTTTGCAAAGACGTCTTCGAAATGGCCTGGGTGTCCCGCGCCACTGCTTGCGATGACAGGAATCTTGATCGCGTTCTTGACATCGTTGATGAGCTCAGTGTCAAATCCACTGTTACTTCCATCTTTGTCTATGCAGTTTAGCAGAATCTCTCCAGCGCCCATGGCTTCTACTGCAGTGACGAGTTGTCGGACGTCAAAGTCGCGGCCCTCGCGCCCGCCCTTGATGGTGCATTGGTACCAGCAGTACTCCTCGCCATTGGGTCCAGGAGTCGAGGTCTTGATAGTGTGGTGGGGTGTGGCGTCTGGTGAGGAGACGTATACGCGTTTTGGATCTACGCTGATGACGACAGCTTGGTTGCCGTATGCAGAGGAGATGGCTTCTATGGCAGTGGTACCTGCTAGCTTGCTACCTCGCGCGTAGTATTCCTCGGCTGCGGTCACGGCATCAGAGCCTATGCTTACTTTGTCGGCGCCAGACTTGAAGTACATGGTTGCAATGTCCAAGGCGGAGATCTTGGTTCCGTCTGTGTCTACTGTATCGCGTATGCCTCCGCCTATTGTCAGGGGAACGAAGACTGTCTCACTGGTTCGGCGCAGGATTTCGAGCATAGGTGTGTCGGCTACGGGGCAGTTACGGAAGGATGTGATGTTCAGGAAGGTGACTTCGTCGGCGCCTTGTTCGTAGTATTTCTTGGCCATTTCGACAGGTTTACCCAGGTTGCGCACTGCATTCCCGGCTCCCTCCTTCTCGCGGACGTCGTATTGGTCACCTTTTGTCACTACGAGATCGCCCTGGTCGTTTGTCCGTACGTCAAGACACGCGATGACGCGTCGTGTCAGTCCTTCTTTCGTCTCAGCCGCCGATGGCTTCTCTGGGAGTTTCTGCCACATATTTCCTTCTAAGAAGGCCTTCAGTACGCGTAGGCCGGCAGCACCACTTTTCTCAGGGTGAAACTGCGTGGCGAAGACGTTCCCCTTGGCTACTGCACCAACGAATTCCTCGTCACCGTATCGTGCGGTTGCGACGGTCCAGCCTTCCTTCTCCAACTTGCCCTCCTCGTATGGCACAGCGTATGTGTGGACATAGTAGTACTTGGAAGTCGGTCGCAGTCCGTATAATGAGTCATCCGTGACTCCGCCGGTGCGCGATGTGTTTGCGCTGTTCCATCCGATGTGGGGTACGCTCTTGTCTGTGTCTTTGAACTTGCGTAGTCGCCCAGGAATAACACCTAGACCTTTGACCTGGGGATCTTCCTCTGAGCTCTCAAACAAGGCCTGTATGCCCACACATATTCCCATGAACGGTTTCCCTGACTTGATGTGTTCGCGAATCGGGTCGGCGTAGCCAGCTTTCTCCAGCTGGGAGAGACAGTGTCCGAAATGGCCGACGCCAGGAATGATAAGTTTCTACGGGCGATGCTGTATCAGCATTTGTCAATTGATGCGCGTTTCTTCGTGGCAAGGTTGTAGTACCTCGGCGGAGGGGACGTCGGCGGGCGTCTTGACCCATTCGACGGTGTAGCCAACCTTCTCGATGGCATTGACGAGAGAGCGGACGTTGCCCGCGACGTAGTCGAGTAGGTGAACAGTCGGCATGGCTGGACAGGTGAGTAGAGGAATGAGTGTAAGAGTGTTGGACTCGAACAGTCACAGGAAATTTGGATGCACCCCGCCGTCATTGGAGGGGCAGTCATAGCGCTAGCCGCTAGTGCCCGCGGACCCCTGTCAAATAATTCTTTGGCTTCATCGTCTCGCGACAGATGCGCGAAGAAACAACCACCACCTCTATCACGTACCGAAACCCCATACCCGCAACGCCAACATGGTGCGAAAGCTAAAGCATCATGAGCAGAAGCTCTTGAAGAAGGTACGGACCGCCTGTTGCTCGCCGCTGCTGTAGCGCATCGCCGTCTGAATACGCCATTCTCTTCACTGTCAATGGCGACATGTCGAGCGCATCAGACGCCTGAAAAGATGTTTGATACTAGTTCCATGATACTGACATGTTTTTGTAGGTCGACTTCAACACGTACAAAAGCGACAATGATCACCGGGAAGCAGCCGTCATGCGTCGCTACGCAATCCAAGGACGCGACGATTACCGAAAATACAATCAGCTCGCCGGATCCCTGCGACAACTTGCCCATCGCGTAGCCGCTCTCGATCCGTCCGACCCCTTCCGTCACAAGCAGGAGGACTTGATCTTGGAGAAGTTGTTCTCCATGGGTCTGCTCGGTACCGGTGGTGGCGGCCGTGGAAAACTCTCAGACGTTGAACACAAGCTTACGGTGTCGGCATTTGCACGGAGGAGGTTACCGGTTGTCATGACTAGGCTACGCATGGCAGATCATGTACAGTCTGCTGTCACACTCGTCGAGCAAGGAGTAAGATCACAGTCGGCTCTCAATCAGGAACTTGGTCACTGACACATTCACAGCATGTCAGAGTCGGTACGGATGTCGTCACGGATCCGGCCTACCTTGTCACAAGGAACATGGAAGATTTTGTCACCTGGGTCGATTCCTCCAAGATCAAGCGCAACATTATGAAATACCGCGACAAGCTGGACGACTTCGAACTCGAGGCGCTATAAGCTCTGACATCTCTTTCATTGGGTGGCGTTAATAAATGCAGCATTTGAAGGCGTTTCGAAATACTCGCGATATCGGGTCATGACACAAATTGATTTTTTTTTCTCGCTATTGAATTCGTTCTTTCGGGTTTCTCGTATACTATGAAGTCAGATTAATGCACGACTCACTTTACAAGGGCGGATGAAGTGCTCCAAGCATTCCATCGCAAAGCTGATGAACCGCGAAACTCTCGCACCACAAATGAAATGTTGGGAAAACCGCGCGGTGACATCGATTACACTACAACAACGGCAGCCATCAAATTCCCCGCGCGATCTCTTTTCGATGGTTGCACAACAGGACAACGATAGCCATCCTCGAGTGGACTGGAAACAGGCATTGGCTATCCTTTTCCGACTGGAGAAGCGCTAACCAATGAGATCTTCCAGGTTACGCCACACAGCATGCTGTTCTTTACCGTGACCGGCAATGACGGTGCTCTCGCTCATTCTGTAGTAAAGGACCAAAGCATACCCGAATGTGAATCGCTTACTGGTGCACAAGTGGCATGTCGCTATCTCCATGCGTGAGTGGGGCGATTTGGGGTTAATCCTGGGGTAGCGAGCGGGTCATAGCAACCAACGGACGTAACGGATGGTGAGGGTGGTATTTAGGATGCCGCTGATCCTTCAAGCTCAGTGTTGGAGATTTTCGAATAGTCCCGTCCAGATCTTCCTTCACCTTGCTTCACCATGGCCGCAAAAGGGGAGAACGAGTCCTCGGCGGCATACATCGAAGCGCTCGACGACAGCACGAACACATCTGATCAAGACGACCGTTTCTCCAGCAATGACGCCAACGAGCAAATCGTCCGTCATTTACAGACCACCGGTGAAGATGTGGGCTTGACTTGTGCGTATCTTGACTGACACACGCCTTCTACACCCACCATATCTAACACAGTGTAGTTCGCACATTGATGGCCGCTGTATCAATGGCCATGTGCTACAACGCCTATTTGTTCACTCTCCTCATCCCGCCAGCCATCCTTACGTACATCAATGCCGAACTTGGTCCAGATCCCAGATATACATGGATTACGATATCATGGAACCTCGGCGGCGCCATGTTCGTCACCGTCGGTGGACGACTCTCCGATATATTCGGCCGACGATGGTTTTTCATTGCGGGAGCTGTGATCCTCATCATTGGCAGCATTGTTTCAGCAACGGGGCAAAGCATCAACCAAATGATCGCCGGTGGTGCTTTGTTCGGCTGCGGCTCCGGATTCCTGGAGATGGCATTTGGTGCGGTCCAAGAGATTGTACCGAGCAAATATCGACATGTTACCATCGGGTTATTCGACGCTGCTTCGATCATATCACAAATCATGCCGTTAGTCAGCTGGGTCATCATCAAGCAGACGGGTAATTGGCGCATCTGCTACTACGTCATGATAGGTTTCCAGACCATCAATCTTGTCCTACTCATCTTCTTCTACCATCCGCCGTCATGGAAAGAGAAGAGGGCTGAACATGGAAAGTCGGCTGGACAGCTCTTGCGAGAGTTTGACTGGTTGGGATTGTTTCTGTTCCTCGCTGGCTGTACCTTGTTTATCGTTGGGGTGTCCTGGGGCGGATCAATGGCTCCGTGGGTTTCTGCGACGGTTCTCGCACCTATCATCATCGGACTGGTGACGTTGATTGGATTGGGATTCTATGAAGCCTACTATACCCAAGCCGCGCCCTTGTTTCCGCCACGTCTCTTCAGAGCTCTCCGTCACTTCACTGTTCCAATGCTCGTCATGGCCATAGGTGGTATGCAATACTACTCCAACGCAACGCTCTGGCCTCGCCTGTCTCAGCTCATCTACGCTAGCGACGAAATCTCCAAAGGTTTGTACGCCGAGGTCCTACCTTTAGGAACCATCATCGGCGGCATCATTGTAGCTTTCAGCAAGATTATCGGTCATCAGCGTTGGGTCATCATGTTCGCCGTCGCTTTACAAACAGCCTGTGTAGGCGCCATGTCCACCTCCACAATGGACAATCCCGCCAAGTCAATCGTTCTGACAGTCATCATTTCGACATGTACCTCTGTCAATCTTCTCAACGGCATGGTCCTGGTAGGCTTTGGTATCGTGTACCAAGAAGACATCGGCACTGCTGCAGGTCTGGCAGGAACTTCTCGTCTTCTCGCTGGCGCGGTGGCCACTGCCATCTTCGGGAATGTCACGAATAACAAGTATGGGGATGTTCTACCTGAGCGCGTTCGTGCTAATCTCGCTCCGTTTAATCTTTCGGCGGATGTCATCACCAGATTGATTGTCGCTGCGAAGGCGAACACTGCGGCTGGGTACGCGGCTATTCCTGGTATCACCCCTGCTATTCGTGCTGCCGCGAGCTTGGGAAATAAGCAAGCGTATCTTGAGGGCGCACACTTGTCGTATCTGGTAGCACTGGCGTTTGGGCTGCTGGGTGTGGTGGCCGCGTTCTTCATTCCGTCGGTGGATAAGAGGAAATACACCAACAAGACTGTTGCGGTGCAGAAACAAGATAGAAGGGTTTTGCAGGAGAAAAACATTGCGGAAACTGGAGGGCCATGAGTTTAATCGCTTCTCGAAGTTCATTCTATCACGGATTCACGTGGTACATGCATTGTCATGGATACATCTTTTCTCATTCAGCTTACCTTTACCTAATATGTTGATGCATTAAATGTGAAGGCTTAACACGTATTTGCTGTGTTTAACCACTCAACTGTCAGCCCCACGCATAGGTATCGATTTGTACGCTCTACACCCAAGCAAAAACAAAAACATACAACAGCGGGGATTCGCTAGTGGTCACCCACCTAACTATTAATCCGCCGGTACACTGCTTGTATATGGCTGAGCGGACGGGAAGCCTAATTTTCAGTGTCCTATGGTCGTATGTGAAAGAACTTGTCTTTTGTAATTTTTATATCGCCTGAGAATCTTCAAGTCCATAGCATTCTGGCCCTCGTAGAATGACCAAATCGACACTGTGTAGAATCTCGGAAGTGAGGTGCTGGTACAGGGAGAATAATCAAGGATGTTTCATTCTTCGATTGATAGTATGACCTATCAGGGTATAACGAGCTAGCTAAGTATGAGGAGATGATACACTCATCAGATCACATCGACAGACCACACCATTACACTGAGCCATGAAGATTCATAAGAGCGTAGCATGCCGATTTTGCAGGTTTGCATCGACAAGACGTTCACATCTTGGTCACCTCGTCCTTCTCTACAATGTTCTTGTCTTCCACTGCACCAACTCCACCGCCACCACTAATAGGTTCATTAACGTAGTCAGCACGGGAGCCTGTCTCGTGAAACTCAAAAAGCGGCTCCATTGGCGCAACATCCTGACGTAGAATGTGTTTCTTCATGTACCACGGCAACTTCTTAGTGTAGTAGGCCGAGAACTTGCGGTTACCCACGTCGAAAACAGTATCCAGTTCTTCCAGAGTGAGAGCTTTGGTCTCTGGCAGGAAGAAGTAGGCGTAGACGAAACCAAAGAAGTTCCAAGCTGCATACCAACAGAATGCACCAGTCGGCGTGAAAGCGGCGCTAAGGGCAGGCCAGGTGAGGGACAGTATGAAGTTGAATCCCCAACATGTTGCAGTGGCGAAAGACATTCCAACGTCGCGTAGATGAAGCGGGAATGCCTCGGCCGAGTACGTGAAGGGCACTGGGCCTTCGCCAGGCGAGTAGACAGCCATGAATGTGTAGATAGCAGCGGCGATTGAACCAAGACGTTGCTGACTTGGTGTGCCATCAGGGTTCTCAGGTAAGTAGAAGGATAATCCGCACCAGAGAAGACAAAGACCCATAAGTGGGAATGTGGTGAGTAGTAGATTCCTTCGTCCAAAGGTATCAATCGTATAGATTGCCGGGATCGCGAAAAGGAAATTCGTTATGCCAGTACCCATAGACGTAAGCAAAGCCTCGGAGGTCGTGAAGCCAGCTTCCTCGAAAATTGCGGTACTGTAGTAGGCGATGACCTGTCAATACTGTCAGCGACTGATGAATGGACTCGAATCAGACAGTGCATAGTACGTACGTTGACTCCGCAGAATTGTTGCATGAACATAACAAAGAAAGCACTCTGTGCGGCGCGACGATTGCGACGCACAGTGAAGAATTCTTTGAAAGCACTCCTGCCTTCTCGCTCTGCGGTTTCAATCTCAAGAAGCTTGTATGCGTAGTACATATCGCGTGCAGCTTGTATCTTGTGCTTGCGTAGTCGGCAAAGTGCGTGGAAAGCTTTGTCGAACTTGCCCTTCTCCATGTACCTTCAACTCTCGTTAGCTCACGATCGAGCTGCTTCAATACAGACCCGTGACTTACCAGCGCGGTGATTCTGGGCAAAAGTATACTTGGACGCAGACAATCATTGGAGGAATACTGGTGGAGGCCAACATCCACCTCCATGGAGAGGTTGGTCCGCCAATAATCGTTACATTCTGGAATGCAACGGAAACGATGAAACCAAGCATGATTCCGAATGCCGTCCACATCTGCCACATCATGGTAAGGGCTCCACGGATGGTCTTGGGCGCAGATTCGGCTGCGTAGACGGGAGTTGTCGATGACTTTGCGCCAACCGCGAAACCGAGCATGAAGCGCGCCACGAGGAGATTTGGCCCTAGGTCAAAAGTCAATCTTGGGTTCTGGTGTAGCTAGGAAGACGTTACTCACAGCTATCGGCAGCTGCCATCCAGATACCGGTGATGAAGGAAATGATACAGGAGATGAAGATGGTACCACGACGTCCGAAATACTTGTTGAGAGGCGCATTGGACCAGCAACCGATGAGACAAGAGCAGAGATACGGGGCTCCATTAAGCAGACCTCGAAGCCAGACTTGGTCCGGTCCGATGTTGAATTCCTCAAAGTAGAATCCCTGTTTAATCGTCAGTACTATAAGACTATGGCATGGAAGCAATGACGCGACGAACCTGAGCGCCGTTGACGGCTGTTTGGTCCATACCCTGTACGATGGCAGAGCCAGCACAGAGTACAACCAAGAAGTACAGCATTTTAGGCTGAGACCATCGATGGTTGATCTCATGCCGTAATAAGTCTTTCTCTTCTGTCGATAGTTGATCGACATATTCGAAGCCATCGTCTCTTTGCCCTACACGAGCGATGAGCGCGCCCTTGCGAAATGCGTCCTGGTCCGCTTGCAGACCCTTTTCAACACACCACGCGTCTACATCGGCTATAACCTGTTCCTCGCTAAGACCTGCCAATGGATTTCGAAGCTTTGCGGCAACGGAAGCTTGTCGGTGCTGACCAGGTCCGGTATGTTCGTGGTGCTGTGTAGTACCAAGGTCGGACTTGCTGCTACCTGACGATGAGAAGGCAGGCTCTGTAGCCTCAATGTCGGGTTTGCGACCAGACATGGTGATGGCTAGAACCAGATATCGAATCTAGGTTGGAACTCCTGGATCAAGTGGAGATACTCGACCGCAAAGTGGATGAGTTGAGAGACACACGATCATACACCTGCAAACCAAGAGGGTCTTGTTATATAGGATCCCGGGGGCACAGCTCACACCCACTTTTCTCTCCATAAAGAGCGGGTCAGGTTTTACTCTGGGGTGACAGTCCCCATGGATTCTCCACACCATCCTGCGCGTTTGGCGCATGTAACTGTACATCGAGATCAGGCACGGGGCGGCCGTACCAAGACATGGAGTTGTGTGTTTACCCAACAAGACATCTCTGGGACTATGTCATTGTGGGCACAGGCAGGTATTGGCTTCTCGGCGGAAGCTAAAATTATACTTGGCAATGGAGCGCAACAAGGGCTTCGGGGCGGCCAAGAAAGCACGTGAAGTCTCGTCGTTGCTCGCCTAAAGGCTGTGGAGTACTCCGACCAATTGGAACTTCGTCGGCAAACTGTCAAGGAAACACCGTTGCGATGAACCATTACGACGCCGTGAGAAGACCTTGGCGTCAAGCGGAATCCGCACTTGGCAGGGTGCATCTTTACCATAATGGGCATCCCGACTTATCGACAGTCGGCACCAGGTTCCGATCTCGACCTTGAGGCTGTCAGCGTTTTGCGAATAGTGTCCAACGAAAGCAACATCCTTAACTCCACTGAAGGCTGTCAGCGCGTCGCATTTAGTGATCCACGGATTGCACCGTGCACATGTGTAGGTGACTCAACCTGAGTCTATCGGCGCTTTTCGTGTAACCAATAGATGAGTCGCAGCAAGAGAGAAGTACCGGTGAAAGAGTACATAGGTAGTCGGCAGATCATTGATCGCGTTGTGAAAGCCTTGTATCGCTATTCTACGAACCCCACACCTGGAGACAATAATGCTAGATCGCCATGGAACAGCCGCATAAACCACTGCAAGAACCTGAAAGCTTAAGAGACCGTTGGGCTGATTGAAACCCTTCTTTCCATAGTGCGAGGCTTCAGTCCAATTTAGCGTGTACCCACGCGCCGCGCAGTAGTAGATTATCCATCTCTTGGGCGACGGTCTCGTTCGAGATCTTGAGCTTTAGATAATGCTGGCTAGTCCGTCGTTCGTCCTCCACCCAGACATTAGTGCCATTCGGATATAGATAGTTGTACCCGTTGTTGTTGCCGTACTCGAACCATCTGTCTAGACCCCTGCCTGCATAGACCATGGTCAAAAAGTCCCACGAGTATTCCGATTTGTTATAGGACCCGTACCATTCCCAGGCTGACTTGACCGGATCATTCGGGGGTCCACACACGGTGAAACGTGCGCCTGACGAAACCTCGACGCCCACTTCTGCACCAAGGAATGTCATGGGAACACATTCGGGCCAAGTGTTGACAACATGCGGTGCATTCTGGATAGCAAAGTTGTACTCTTCATCGAGAGATGGCTCTGGTGAGTATCCACCGCCCATAACCACAAGCTCCTTCACTTTTGCTTTTACGAGCTCGTAGCCGCCTAGAGAGGAATATGCATCGCCGGTTGTATTGAGGAGACCAGACAGCGATCCCATGAAGCCAATTGACACGATGGTCACACTATTGTTCTTCGCCTCCGCCAACGTCTTGCGATATAGCTCTACTGGATCCCAGGTCTTGTTGACCTGCCCGAAAGGCACTGAACCGCCGGAAAACTCAGCAGCTACTTTGCTCGCGTACTCGTTTCCAAATGGTTCGGGAGAGGTTATGTTTGTAAAAGGCCTAGGCACTCCGATCGGTACGGTATTGTAGCCATAATGATTTACAATTGCGGACGCAGCAAAAGCTGTGTATGTCGAGTTGACGTTCACGTTCACGGCGAGGAGGTTCGTGTTTGGCAATGTACATGCGAGGAGTAACGCGGCGGTGTCGCTATTGCGGCGTTAGCTAGGTTTCAGAGCTTCACGTGCTACTATTACTCACTCAATCGCCTCGAAAAGATCGGTGTCCACAATCAGGTTCTTGGTTTCTGGTTCTGTTGCCGACTCAACTAGTGCAAAGGCCGACACAATCGCCAGTCCATATGTCAGAGCAAATCGAAAGAACATTGCGTCGCGATTTTCTAATCAGACGATTCACCGTAGATGGGGAGCAGGAGCAACGAAGACCGTCCAGTCAAGCAATGATCGTGAGATACTGGTGTGTGTCGATATGGGATAGATGCAACCCGCTCCCACGATCCACAAGAATGATGTGCTCAGCGTGCTAGATCACTACAGCGAGGCGCTCCGCCATCGGATCTTCATACAAACAAGCTACGGCGATAAACGGCAATCGATCCCCATTTTGCATTGTGGTGAGTGGAGCGAATGATACGCGGAGCTCGTGGTGCACAACATGGGCGCGCGATAAGAGCCTGTGTGAGGATTGTCCTCTTTATCGATCTCGGTCGTATTTCGGAAGTGCGTGCTAGCTCAGCACGAAGAGACGCTTCCTCTTCAGCTTCATCGTTGCCTCGCTGTGGATATCCAATGTCGCGGAGCTAGGGTGGTGGGCTATCACAGAGGGTGGGAGTCAATGACGGTGGTGCCCAGTAAGCCGGAAGCGACAAGGCGATCGCTGAGTGGCAGGACGCGCTTACTTCCTTCACAAGAGAGGCTGTGCGTATCACCCACGAACCACCCAATACTACGACACGACCAACGTAAACGTTTGCAAACATGAACAAGCTCGCGTTAACCTGCTTCGCGTTGTCGCTTCTTGGAGTATCTGCATCTTATCACGAACGCGCCGGCGCGCAAGACGTCATCGCCAAGCTTGGACTGGAGCCAAACCCTGAAAAGGGTTATTACCGACAAACGTTTGAAGACACTGGAAGTATTGGCAATCGCTCGTACTCAACTGCCATCTACTATCTTCTCGAGGGCCAGGCTGGCCCATCCTACTGGCACCGGGTCACCGATGCCGTCGAAATTTGGCACTACTATGCTGGCGCGCCCATGAGGCTGGAGCTGTCGTGGAATAATGGGACAGCAACCCAACAACAGACTTTAGGCAGCGACATTTTCAGAAATCAAACTCCACAGGTCATCATAGATAAAGGACAGTGGCAGCGGGCGACTAGTCTCGGACATTGGACGTTGGTGGGCACGACAGTTGCGCCCGGCTTTTCGGAAAATGGGTATGAGTTGCCAGCGCCAGGTTTCCAGCCAGACGATGGCCATCGAACAAGATAATTCCACGAGGTCACACGAGAGACATACCAGGGCTAGAAAGTCTCCAGGTTTCCTACTCATCTTGTATTGAAAACAGTGCTCGACGTCAAATCTTACGAATCGGTCACGATGTCTGTCGGCGTGCTCTACGGACTTCGCTTCACCGGTTCAATCGAGTCTTCCAATAGCTGGCTTGGATATCTGAAGCCACTCCATGCTCTTGTCAGACTGTTGAAGCGCTACTACTGTTGCCATATCTTAACGCCGAGAACACGATCTGAAAATGTAACCTGGCGCGCTTCACAACGCCCGAACGCCAAAACAATATTGTCGGGCATACTACTCCACAACGAACACGAAGACCTACCTCCGAATGTCTGTTGCAAACGCCGGTATCAGGGCAGTTGCGGTTATCGATGGCACCTCTATTCCACAGCGTCCCTCCACTCATAGAAGCCCAACGAGCACGTCGTGCGGCCGTCGAATCGGTCACGTAAATGCAAAGTATCAACCTTGCAGTTGATTTATAATAGCGCCAAGCGAACTGCTGTTCTTTCGTAATCAGGCAGCTTCGCCTTCTCATTCTTGCTATCTCACCGTCAGCTGAAGCACCTTGATCAGCTTGGATGCCTAATCATTCTGTATTCCAACTGCTCCAGCAAAGCACATGAGCTTGATCACATACCCATTCACAGCTCTTCCAGTTCACATGGCATGGCTTGACCCGAAGTTCGCTTTCTGGCCGACCTTGGTCGTGTGCGCGATGTTTGTGCGATCTGTGCGGCTCCGCCACACGTCAGACATGATGGGTACGCCTTCCAATCATGTAAGCCGACTCTCTGGCGAATACACTGCGCGCTACTTGAGGCTGCATAGGTTTCGACCTAAATTGAGATGGGCGGAGTGGCTGCGCAACTCGTGTAAGCCACCTCGCGAGCTTCAAGCCTGACTTCGCCAAGGCAGTCGCCATACGAAGAGACACTCCCGCTCACGAGGTTGTCTGAGCTGTTCTTTCCTGGAGTCAGACGCGAGACTCCGAGGTCTGGATTGAGCGGTCAAACTCCGTGCTGACTGTATTCGTGTAGGATTGGGTGGTCATGCATCTTCATCGCCCTCTGCCCATATCCATTTTCAAGCGTCAAATTTCTATGAATACGATCTCCGAGCATCAAATCTCCGTTTGCCTTATCCTAAGCCATACTAACATCCTGGTAGTTGGAGAGTCAGAAAGGAACTTGGTTGTATTGCGCCATGGCGTCTCCAAACCTATCGAACGCAGAATGGCCATCTGAGCTGAAGATACAAGCCACGGACCGTAAGAGCAGATATAAGTACGAGTTTGCTGCTTCATGATTCTCTGGTAGCATATCGAGCAGTCATTTACTCATTATACTATCTTCTCTTTCCACCAGTATTCATATCTCCACATTCGTTGATTTCCAGCTTATCCAGCAAGGATGAAGTCCTTCTCCATCCTTGGTGCTGCCCTCTTTGGGCTTTTTGCACCAGTTGCCATTGCAGCAGCGATCCCTGCTGAGCTCGCCGAACTTGCCCCATTTACGCCAATACGAGACAGTCTTGAGGAACGTCAATCACCAGCTTCATGTGTCAATGTCGGCAACACTGCTACCACCAGGCATTGTTGGGCTCCAGGGTTCACATCTTCCACGGACATGTACACGTCCTGGCCTAATACCGGTGTGGTCCGCTCATACAATTTACGTATCGAGAACACGACTTGCAATCCTGATGGCGCAGGATCCAGAGTTTGCATGTTGATCAATGGAAGGTACCCTGGTCCAACGATTGTTGCCAACTGGGGCGACACGATCAGAGTAACTGTCCGCAATCTCCTCCAGGCTAATGGTACTTCCATTCACTGGCACGGCTTCCGCATGCTCAACAAGAACATCCAGGACGGTGTCAATGGAATCACCGAGTGTGCATTGGCACCTAACGACGTTAAGACTTATGAGTTCCAAGCGACTGAGTACGGCACGACATGGTATCATTCCCATTTCTCGCATCAGTATGGTGACGGAGTCGTTGGAACAGTTATCGTGAATGGCCCTGCTACTGCGAATTACGACGAGGATCTCGGGGTCATGCCAATCACTGACTGGTATTACCAGACCGCGTACCAAGCAGCCTCCATCGCATTTCAGAATGGCCAAGCTGGACTGGGCCCACCAGTTGGTGACAACATCTTGATTAACGGGACAGCTAAGAACGCAGCAGGAGGGGGCGCATGGAATAATGTGAAGATTCAAGCAGGCAAACGCTATCGTCTTCGGCTTGTCAATACCGCGGTTGATACCAACATGGTTGTAAACCTTGATGGTCATCCTTTCCAGGTCATCGCAACGGATTTTGTCCCCATCAACCCCTACAACACTAGTCACCTCCAGATTGGTATCGGTCAACGATACGATGTGATCATCACTGCCAATCAAACAGCTGGAAACTACTGGTTCCGTGCTGTCGCAGATGGACTTTGTCAATCGCGGAACACTCGCGAGGGACGAGCTGTCTTCACGTACCAAGGCCAGACTGTCGCTGATCCTACCTCAAACTCCACAGCTATCCCTTTCACGGAATGTGTGGATCCGGTCACTAGCCCGAAGATCGCAAAGAATGTTCCCAGCACAACCTTTGCCGCCCAAGCCAAGAGCCTTCCTGTTGCCTTCGGTCCGGTGGCAGCCAACGGCAATACAGTACTCTGGACTATCAATGGCACATCGATGATCATCGATCCCGGAAAACCAACCATCAAATATGTCGCGGAAACCAACAACAGTTTCCCTCAATCATATAACGTCGTGGAGGTACCATCGACTTCCGCCTCTACCTGGTCATATTGGGTGGTACAACAAGCTGTTGGTGCACCGCCTCTTGCTCACCCTATTCATCTTCATGGCCACGACAGCTACGTTCTCGGTGCAGGCGATGGACAATTCAACGTGAGCACCCACTTCAGCCAGCTACGTTTCACCAATCCTCCGCGTCGCGATGTCACTCAGCTCAAAAAGAACGGTTGGCTTGTTCTTGCGTATCCAACGGATAATCCAGGTGCTGTAAGTAATCATACCCTGTTTCAATCCTTGAAGAATACTTTTAGGTATCTTATTATGAACGGACCTCTTACCCGTCGCGCTTTCTCGGCGAATGCTGACTGTTCTTCTCTAGTGGCTGATGCACTGCCACATCGCCTTCCATGTGGGCATGGGTCTCAGCGTCCAGTTCCTTGAGCGCAAGCAGTCTATCAATCTACCTGCTCCCGGCTCCGAGTGGTACGGCAACTGCAACAAGTGGGCTAGCTACAAGGCTGGCACGACAGACATTTGGCCCCAAGACGACTCTGGTCTTAAGAAGCGCTGGCCTCCTCTCATTGAGGGTGGCTCAACGTTCAGATTGGACTAGATTGTTCGTTCGTACACCCTCGTTCGCAAAAGATATCGATGGTCAGCAGTGTCGGATTCAACCTACAAGGGCGATGCAACCGTTTCAACTTTTCGCGTCGTATGCTTGGAGACGTTTCGCCTTTCTTGGTTCGCGCGTTCTCTTCTAACTCTCTCCTTCAACCCGGTTTTGTGTTTACATCTTCTTTCTGATACATACCTTGTTGTGGTGGCTCAGTTCGTATTCTGATTTGGGAACCGCATGTACATACTTCTGACACTACTCATACCTTCAATGTATATATTCCAGCAACAAATCATTCGCAAACTGCAGTTCGATCCTTACCCCATGTCCAGCCACCATTCTTATTCCGGCTATCGCACGGTGGCTTAGGTCTTGCTGACCTCTCCTAAGACCTGGGGTACGCACGGCACGGGAGTACATCCAGCACTGACCAATCACCATGCATCCAGGAATTGCCGGCCAGCTCAGTACGAGGAAGCGAGCGGGGAAGCTCGACCTCCACCACAGCGTCGAGCATGCTGACCAGTGTCATTCGTCCGAACAGCAGTCTTTGGCGATGGTGGCTTCTCGGCGCCATTGGATATATATCCAGCCAGTTAAAAGGAGTGGCTGAACTCCATCGGCTTTACTTGGCGAATGGAATGTCGCGACTCTAGCATACGGAGTCCGAGACGAGCATATTGTCAGGCATGTCGTGATGTGGGTTATTGGACTCCAAGACACGGGCGTTCTGTGGACGTGTACCCCACCACGCTTGTGCATGTGGAGAAGAGACTTGAGCGACAGGGTGCTCTTGGAGCTGATAAGTGCAGAGCACCCTGAACTCGTGTCGCAAGGTTACGGTTGCCATCTGACATTAGGACTTTGGTTTGCCAGCAATACCGAGAGCCCATCGCAGCAGCTATGGCGACAACTACGACAGCGCATCCAGCGCCTGCGATGAGCAGTACAGATTCTGATCGGATTGACAAGGAGCCGCGACTTACTCACACATCGACGAACATCTCCCTCAGTCCGGAGCTATTCGAGAAGTTGTATCTCGCACCCAAGACACCAAATGCGAACGATCACGTCGGACGATATGCCAATGCGACACCGTTGGGCTTCCTGGGGTAAGATGATCATCGCATGTACGAGAGACACAGTACTGAGTACCCAGCAGATTCGTCATCTCAACCTTCACCTTTTCCATGGTTTTGATGGGCTGGGGCGGCGCTTCTGGTCTCCAGGCTGTCGTGTAAGTATTTGTTCCCTTGACAGTGTGCACTTCCCGTCTCTAAACTGTATTGAGCCATTCTTAGTGGTATATTCTTCTTCACTGGCCCAGTACTTCTTACCCTGGCAACAATATTCCTCTGGATCCAAGCGCAGTTCTTTCCGATGATGGTTTGTGGTCTCTTCTCGGTGTTCTGGTTGTCCTTCGGAATGTTGCAATTACCTACACTTGGTCTTGCAGCAGCCTACTCATCCGATGGCGATGCAGCAGCAGGGGCTGTAAGCAAAGAGATGAATGCTGTCATCGCACTGTATCTTCTTGTTTGGGGCTTCGCATTGGGTACATTCTGGCTGTTTACGATCAGAATCAACGTAGTGTTTGCTGGCATCTTCGGGTTCGTGACAATCGGTGCCTGGGTGTTGAGCGGAGCTTACTGGGCGTTGAGCAACGGAGAGTTTGACAAGGCGCTTAGGTTGCAAAAGGTAAGCTGATCAAATGTTTCCAGAACGTTGCTGATGTTTAGCAGGCTGGTGGGGCGCTTCTATTCATAGTAGGCTTACTGGGATGGTACATGCTCTTCGTTATTATGGCGGCAGAGATGCGATGGTCGGTTTGCCCACCTGTTGGAGATCTGAGTAAATACTGGGCCAAGACAGATGTTGAGATTGGTGCAAACGCAGGTGAAAAGAAGGACTAGGCGTCAGCTTAGCACCCTGTTCAAGGTACAGTACTCATCTGTTGCTACACGCATGAGCCCTTGGATATAATATATGAAAACATTTTCGGTTCCCACTAAACACTCTTTAGCTCGCCATCTTCGCGTGAAGCGACTGCATGTCTGCTACCAGCCCGACGAATCCTAGAGGGAGTAACCGACGGGTTCACTGTCAGACATAGGGTCACAAAAAAAGCAGGTTAGAGAATGAGCAAACGCAACATTGGTCGCATGGATGGTCCATTTGGATGTAAGACTATTGGTACCCGATGTCTTCGTTCTCATATAAAAGCCGTCTCAAAATCTTCGGTCCGCTGGTGACGATGGGTGTGACGATCACCAGCGCGCTCTCTACTCTTGCTTTGGGCTCGTCGCTCGCCGCTGCGATGCGACTCCCGATGCTCGTGCCTGTCACGGCTGTGCGTGGAAGTCCTAGGCTCACGCTTGTCACGGCTATGGCTAGGACTTGTGTGGCGATGCTTGTGGCGCGATGACGCACTGCCCTTCTTGGGAGTGCCATGCTCGCTGTCTTCCACGTCTCGCCTCTTCCTCTTGAGATGTCTACTCCGCCTATCCTCGCGTTCCTGAGCTGATCGTAGCTCCATTAATTCGCGACTGCGCTCCTCGGCCCATTGTTTCCTGTCCTGCTTGGACTTCTTCAATTGTGCCTGTGCCTTCTGCATGAAGGCAAAGGGGTCGTTTGTGGATATACGGGCCTGCTCTCTTTCTTTACGGCGCGGGTCTTCATTTCCCCAAACGTCCTTGTTCACGAAGCCTTCGTAGATTGACAATTCCTTCTTGTCTCCAGCGCTCTGCTTGGGCGAATGTACGGCAGCGTACCAGGGTCGACTGACCCCGTCCCTTCCTGCCGCACTGGAGAAGCGCATGGTGAACTGGGACTCGATGACCTTTTCCTTCTTGCGCTTCTCCTGTTCCGCTTCTGCGTTTTTCTGACGCTTGAGGGCGTCTTTCATGTCTACCGGAAACAAGTCAATGTGGCCGGCATAATCTTGCAACGGGGCATCACTCGCAGTGCTCCGTAACTTCAGGACTCTAGCGTCCTTGTCGTCATGCTCAGGTCGCGCCGTGACGGACTTGGCCATGCGTATATCCAGATCGGTATCATCCTCCCCAGCGAGCTTCCTCCTTTTCCTGATGTGTCCGCGTTCATCTGCGTGTCCTGAGCGCCTTGATTCTGACGTCTTGCCGGCTTGTCTTTCTGGCAAAGGTGGGGGCGTTCGACCTCGGAGAATGGCAGCACGTCGTTCAGCATCGAGCTCTTGCATGCGCTGCTCATCGGCGGCTTCGCGTGCGGCAGCGGCAGCCTCGTCGGCCTTGACACGCGCTATGTTGTCGGAATTGTATACGTTCCATGACTTCTTGCCGAGCAGGTGTCTACAGTCGTTAGTGACTCCAAGGGTTAGAGTTGGGAGAGGATAGCCACTCACAGAGGCATGGTGACATGTGCCAGGCGGACGAGACCAGAGCGTGTTGTTTGTTGTCATGCGCCATCGGGACGGCCGCCTTCTTAACTCTCACCAGCGAGGTCGGGCGCGGAGGCAAGCAGTGGCACCCGTCGACGCGAACGGGAGCGACCTTGCATTAGCGTCGAGCGGGGCCCTATCCAGTTCTCTCCCCACAGTGCCATTGGCATAACCCAAAGAGACAACCCGAGTTCCTGGCTAGATGCATCGCCTTCAATAGTGCCCCTCTGATCTGGCTTCCCCGTGGTAACCGTCGTATCGATTCCCTTGTTGCTTTTTCCTAGCGTGCATCTGGCCACAAGACGAGCGCTCCCAGCCACGCTGCGGCTATCGTCTAGACCTCTGCATAAGCTCTCAAGACGCGGTCCCGACCTACATAACACAACGTCTGTGACCATGTACGACCTGCAAGCGAAAGTCTGCTAAAGACCTCGTCCCTCACTTTGACCTACCTCTGTGTGTTGCTTTTTGGACCGACTTTCTTCCACGGCACTCCACATCCGAAACGGAGAATTGATACGAAAAGCACTTCGACATGCCCACCTGGCTCGTTCACGGTTTTCGATGGCCGCGCGCACAGATTCGCATTCACATTATTCTGCAGAACCTCGACGATGCCGCTCCAGAATGGCTCATGGCCCCTGCTACTACGGCCTGTATGATGCAAAACTTCAAGGAGCAATGGCCAGAACAGATGGCCCAGCTGCCTGATCTACGCTTCATCGAGCAATACGATCCCGAAGATCTCACCGTCAAGGATCAGCCGTACGCATATGTGTGCGATATTGTGCACGAGATCAAGCTGGGCGTGGACGTGGAAGAGATGAGGGGAGCTGGGCTGGGAGATGACCAGTGGGCAGCCATTGCAGAATTGAGGGACAAGGTTGCACCGGGAGAAAAATTAGGTTGGTTCGTAGTGGTCAACGGAGATGTCGAGAGGTGGGCGCCGCCGCTGGAGGAAGACGACGATATAACCCCAGACGCCAGCGCCGTCAGTGCGTCAAGTCACAGGAGCAGCATGGCACAATCCGACACCGCACGCACCAAAGAACCGGAGCGACCGTCCTCGAGTAGGAGTTTCAAGAAGTGGTTCGGAGGGAAATTGAGGAAAACGAAGAGGTACGATTGATGACAACACGGATCCAGCATATGCTAACTTGATGAAGCGGAAGGAATTTGAGAGGTGATACCACGCCAGAAGAGCCAGTTCCTCCATTGCCACCAATCTCACCCCGATACGCTCTTCAATCTTCGCACGGGAAGGCATCTGCGCAGAAGTAAGGGCGAAACGAACAGGGATGAGATCAAGTACACATATATATATATGGCCCCAGTAAAGTCAGCCGCAACATGTAAGCTATCGAATAGGTCTTTGAGGTAGCCAAGCATCCGCAGCAAGATAACATACGTGAAGTTGTAGACAGCCATTGCCTGCATGAATTCATGTGCCCGTCGCAAACTCACCTTTTGGGTTAGTGCATTTCATACCTCGTTGCACGTGACACGCGATTGCCTAGCTCAAATTATTATCCAAGTCGCGACTGCCCTATCACGCCGCCTCGGCATCACCACCACCCACCTCGCTACCGTATTTCACCGCCAACTCTTCCATCGCGACCGCGATCCAAGTCCGCATACATCCAGCGAAGATACTGGCGCATCGCGTTTAGGTTAATTGTTCCGAAAGCCTGCGCAGCTTGCGGCGCGCTCCAGCCCGAGGCTACGACCAATTCCTCTCCTCGACAACCCCGGAACTACCGCCAAGATGAGTCGACGCGACTTTCTCTCCATGCCTGCGCCCGAGAACTATGTGGCTGGTCTCGGTAGAGGAGCTACGGGCTTTACAACCCGAAGCGATCTGGGTCCCGCCCGTGAGGGTCCATCCGAGGAGCAGATGAAAGAGATGCTAGCAAAGCGCGCAGCTTCGCTAGGTCAGGCAGCCCCCTCGGCCTATGGTGTCACTGAAAAGAAAGAGGAAGAGAGGGACGAAGAGGAGGACCGGTTTCAAGATCCCGATAATGAAGTTGGCCTTTTCTCAAGCGGCATGAACTACGACAAGGACGATGACGAGGCAGACCGCATATATCAAGAAGTTGACGAGAAGATGGACAAGCGCCGTAGAGCAAGAAGGTTAGTCCCCCTGTTTTCCTTTACTTCATGCCCCTCCCCTCTATCTTTGTCATCGAAGTATTCATCGTGTTTTTTTCCACGAACAGATACCGATTGTGTCCGCCCTAGGGAAGCTCGCGAGCAACAAGAACGAGACGAGTACGAACGAAACAACCCCAAGATCCAGCTCCAGTTTGCCGATCTGAAACGAGCCCTCGGCGGCGTCTCTGAGGAAGAATGGGCAGCGCTGCCTGAGGTTGGAGATATGACCGGCAAAGCGAAGCGCGCTCGTGAAGCTCGACTAGCGAATTCGAGGTCATACGCCGTTCCGGATAGTGTTTTGGCCGCAGCATCCAAGAGTGGCGAGCTTGATACCACGATATCGTCAGGCGACGCAGACGGCATGACAACGAACCTTGCCAGTATCGGAGCTGCGCAGCTGTCTGCCTTGACGGTACGACTGGACTCAGCAGCAAGTGCGCCTGGCACGCAAACCACAACAACTTCTGGTACCTCGACGTCCGTGGACCCGAAGGGATACATGACTGCGTTGAGCAAAAAGGAAGCTATGGGTGAGGAAGTTCCAGTTGAGGACATCAACCGCGCGCGTGTGCTGTTAGAATCGGCCGTCAAAACTAACGTCCACAACGGCCCCGGATACGTTGCGCTAGCACGACTTGAAGAGGTTGCTGGAAAGATTCACACGGCCAAAAAGGTTATTGCACGTGGATGCGAACTATGTCCTCGGTCTGTAGTCGTCTGGGAGGAAGCGATCAGGCTGAATCGTGACAACATCCACAATGCGAAGATCATTGCCGCCAATGGTATCAAGCAGAACACCAAGGCGGTAAAATTATGGCAAGCTGCCATCGATCTGGAACAAACACCAGCGTCTAGGAAAAAGGTTACACGTCAAGCTCTAGACCACAACCCCCAGAGTGTGGAGTTGTGGAAGACCCTAATCAACGACACGGAAGAGCTAGACGCCGTCCGCTTACTGTTCGCCAAAGCTACAGAAACTGTTCCTCTCTCAGAGGAGTTGTGGATCTCATTCGCCAGAGTTTCAAAACCAGAAGACGCGCAGCAGATCCTCAACAAGGCTCGCAAAGCCATCCCCACCAGTTGGGCGATTTGGATTCATGCTTGCAGATTACAAGAAGAGCTGGGCAAAGTTGACATGTTGGACATGATCATGACTAGAGCAGTCAAGTCCCTGATCAAGGAGAACGCTATGATCAAACGTGAAGAGTGGATCACTCAAGCTGAGATTTGCGAGGAGCAAGGCGACACTGGCACAGCTGCTGCGATCATCAAGGCGACAGTGGGCTGGGGTCTTGACGAAGATGACGAGCGTCGGGACGTTTGGCTAGAAGATGCCAGGAGCGTATTGAACAGAAACAAGCCGGAAACAGCTAGGGCAATCCTCGGATTCGCCGTCGCCGTCTTCCCGTATAGTACAACAGTCTGGCACGCGTCCACTGACCTCGAAAAGCATCACGGTACAACAGACACCCTACTAAGTGTCCTGGAGCGTGCCGTGAACGCCTGTCCAAACTCGGAGTCCTTGTGGCTTCAATACGCTCGAGAAATGTGGCAATCAGGGAACCCTGAAGGTGCTCGCCAGGTTCTAGGAAGAAGTTTCGAGGCTCTGCCAGGCAACGAAATGCTGTACACTCGCGCTGTTGATTTCGAAGTTGACGCTGGCAACTACGAGCAGGCCCGTAGCTTCCTCCAGGTAGCACGTGAATCAGCTGCCACCGATCGCATCTACATGAAGTCGGCCGTGCTAGAACGACAACTGGAAAACTATGAGACAGCGATCGACATCTGTAACCAGGGTCTGCAGAACTGGCCCGGCAGCTGGAAGTTACATGCTATCAAGGGTCAAGTCTACGAGCAGCTTTCAAAGCTGCCAGAAGCTCATGAGGCATTCAACATCGGTACACGCGCGGCACCGAAAGCTCCAGTCCTGTATATCCTTCTTTCACGACTCCAGGTGAAGCAAGGAGCAGTTGTAAAGGCTAGATCCACCCTGGATCGTGGTCGACAGCAGAACCCTAAGAGCGAAGAGATCCTTCTAGAGCAAGTCCGTCTCGAGCGCCGCCAGAACAACACGAACGCTGCCCAACAGCTGATGGCCGGCGCTCTACAGCAATGTCCCAACTCAGGGCTTTTGTGGGCAGAGAAAATCATGCACCTCGAGGGCCGTACACAACGTAAGCCGCGCGCACTCGAAGCTATCAAGAAAGTGGAAAAGGACCCTCTACTATTCGTCGTCGTCGCACGGATCTTCTGGTCGGAGCGACGTCTTGACAAGGCCGCGACGTGGTTCGTCAAGGCTGTCACCCTTGACAGCGATTACGGTGATGCTTGGGTGTGGTACTACAAGTTCCTCGAACAGCATGGCACTGAGGAGAAGAAGGAGGATACGCTTTCAAAGGCTGCCATGGCTGAGCCCAAGCATGGTGAAATATGGCAGTCTGTCGCCAAGGATCCTAAGAATGCGAGGAAGAGTGTAGAGGAGATTTTGAAAATTGCTGCGGCAAAAGCGGAGTAGAGTGCTGCTGTAAATCGGTGTCTGTGTTGATAAGGTCGAAGCATAATCGAAACATTTTCCGGCCTTAGTAGCGGGTCTTGCTCACAGCTGCGGTCTTACACGGATTGATGCTAGTTTGGCATATTCGAGGATGATAAGTTCCTGACTCTGGCGTTTACTAACTTTATTCAAGTAAGTTGTGTTTTCTAGTTCTGAGCCGTGAACCGCTTTTGGGATCTCCAGATTTAAGAGAAATTCCCCACCATCATAGCTTGCCAACACAGCCTGCAGACCGACTTCAAAAACTGTAAGGTAGGATTGTCAATGGGCTGCAAGTTATTGCTGTCGCTACTCACTGACTCAATTTCATCCGCCTGACCTGCACACGGCATAACCACGTATAAAACTCAGTACGTCTCTATTCATATATACACAACGCACGAATATCCGCGTTGATTACTACTACTGTGGTCATTTGAAGCCGCCAAGCTGATTATCATGGCAGAGAATCTGTTTGTCCAATGTGAATGTTCACATGTGGAGTGGCAGGCCATAACACGGCTTACATTACCACCCATTAGCCCCAAGATCGAATGACGAAGTGAACATGCTGCCGTCCTCGAAAGCAATGACACGATCCATGTCTATAAAGTCCTGATCAAGCATGGGGTCGGTGTTGAACTCCGGACTCAGCAGGGATAAGCCCAGGTCGTCCAATGGCAGAGTCACCCCAACATTTGGCCATGTGCGAAAAGATTGCGACGGCTCACTGGTACCACGACGATCATCGATATCCTTGGTATAGTCCATGATGTTAAGTCGAAAGTTTTCATCTTCTGCGCAGCGCTCATGTAATCTCCTTAGCCGACGGTGATACTGGCTGAACAGGTTCTCCTCGCAATGTAATCGACCGGAAAAGGCGATCCATCGCCTTGACATTTCCTCAAGGCTGTGCAAGATGGACCAGAACTCGGGCGCCAGGTTGTTCTCACGTGTGTACCGCCAATGAGCTAAAAGTACCCTGGCAGCAACGAACAGGCAGAAAGCATACTGGCATCCAACCGGTGATGTAGGCGACGACTTTGTGAGGTATTTCTCTGTAATGGTTGCAATCTCAGTACCAGCAGTGTAGCAAGCCTCTGCGCTGCAAGTGCTAGGTAATCGGTTTCGAAAGCCCCAGTGTGGAGGTGGATAAGCGATGAGCTGATGAAGCAGTATCATCGAAGCGTTATGTGTGACATGAGCTGTAGTTAAATTCGGGTCCTAACAGATGTTACTTGATGTCTGTAATGCATCAATCGTTCGAATGCTTACCATCAAGGGAACCTGTCTTGTTAAGTTAGGATTGGCCTTCCATTTCTGAGGTAGCAGCATCTTCCAATGCACCAAGCGAAGATCTAGCTCTTTAAATCGAGTGAGCCAAGAGCTGATCTCGCCTGGGTTTCGAACATTGACTTTTTGTTGGAGAAAATAGCTCACTACACGACTCATAGACTCGGTTGCTTCGATGTTGTACGCAAAAGCACCGACCGTGGACATATCTGCCGCTCCGTTTTGACCCATGTCGATTGATGGTGTCCCTCTCATCTGGCCATGGGCCGCAGTCTCAGTGGCGGATGGCTCATCGATCAGAGATATAGGCTGTGAGATAAAGCCGATCGGGTTGCCGATGCGACCTTTTGACTTGTCCCAAATGCCGAAGTAAGGTGTCAAGACAGCATTCTGCTTGCGCCACAGGTGACCATCGCAGGGAAGTCTCCGAAAGACATCATCAGAGGTTAAACTCGTACTCCAGCCCATAGTTACCGAGCAGAATCGATCAAGGAGGAAAACATTCCAGAAGACTCTCCGCCGTTCTTCCTCTTCTGTCCAATCGTCGGTATTCTCTAGGCATGCGTATGCTTGGCAAAAAGGGTGAAGCTCACTATCCTCTTGCTCCTGTGCCAAGCCCATGTATTCAACGGTACGCGTCATTGATCCGATGATGGCCCAGGCTTTTGATGCTTGTCCGTTCCCAATATCATCGAAAGCCAGTATAGTCAGCGCTTGGAGGCTCTCAAGTGATAGAGTCTCCATAGCTGTGCAGACAACCCACCTGCGCGCTTGTTCAACGTGACCTCCTCGTGAGCCAGGTACAAATTTGGAAGCGGCTAGGATCATAGCTTGGATGACTATTGAGAGCTTTCTACGCTGCGGCTCTATGCTGAAGCGTTGAAGAAACCTAGCCTGATGAATCATCGGGATCCAAGGATGAACATGGGAAAAGTAGGCTGCAACGATAGCCTCTAGCATTTCAGCCTGGGGTAGAGGAGGCACTTCATCTGAGTCCAATGTATTGAGAACAATGTTGTCTTCTGCTAGACGTCTCCTCTTATTGCTCTCCTCGTTTGTTGACGGCGTGGCAACTCCTCCATTCGATAAGCCATCAGTCAGCTTGGGCAGTTCCTTGGCCAATAGAGCCAAGATGCTGTAAGCTGACGACCTGCTTGAGCTCTCACGTGCATGTCCACTTTCATGTGGTGAGCCGTGGTTGCACTGTTCAAGACGGGATTCTTGCGCGTTGACGCGCTGTTCTAACTCGTCAATCCTCCTATGCAGATTGTCAACAGCTCCCGACTTCAAGCCCGGCTTGACACGTTTCGATTCGTATTCGCATTCTTCCCCTGCTGGACATTAGCGGATGGATCCGGGCTGCGTAATCATGGAATACTTTACCTGTCTTTCTACAGTGTAGGCAACTGGGCCTATCTCTTGAACAGCGCAGTTTCGCTTTCCGGCACGGATTGCAGGCTAGGCCATACGGCGTGCCAGAAGCTTGCTTCAGCTCACAATCAGGCTGCTCATTTGACCTGTCCTTGAAAGTTTCATCTGACATGGCATGCGTTTACTGAGAGCTAGGACTAACTACACCCTTATGTAAATGATCCATCCGAACACCGGTCGAGATGCCCCGAACGACCGAGAGGGCAGCCAGGTTCTCCGCATTGGCGCGACCCAATCAGTATATAGTCTAGTGCGTCGAGATATACAGTGACACTAATGATTAACCGAGCTAGTAACCATCAGACGTTCTCCACTCGTTGAAATGATCCTAGTCTTCTACACCAGAGATGTCTTGATCAAGACATGACAATGCACATTTGCCTGTTTGCGCTGGCCGAAGATTCACCTGGCTTATACTAGGCCCGTTCGTAACAACCTATTACCAAATTCCACCAGATAGTAGTCTCCATAAACTAGGCCATGATTGGCGTAACGCTTACGCGCATTCGCATTGTTGTTTGCAGTTCCAAACTTCAACATCCCATCGTAACGACGTTCTGGCGATGTCTCCTCCGCACGAATCTGATGATATGAGCCACTGACAAGCCGAGCCTTCTCTGGTGCTAGCGCAAAGCTGAGTGTGTCTTGAACTATGCGCAACGCTGTGTTCCGAAATCTCAGTGACAACTGAGTCTGCCCGATACCCGCTAATGCTTGCGATAGCAATAGCATTCCGTTGGCGGCGATGGTGCCTGCAGAAGAGTCGCGCAACGGTTCATCCTCGTTCTCGATTGGTGCATCAAAGTCCCACAAAGGCACGTAGCGCGCACAAGACACACAGACAGGTGATGTCTTTAGACGATACAAGAAATATTCTGCGAGTCCACAGGCTGCCTCCAGGAACCTATGGTCTCTTGTCCACATGTACGTCTCCGCGTATCCGAGTATACCCCATGCCTGGCCACGACTCCACGTCGAATCGTGCTCATATCCTTGTGCCGTTATTCGTTGCTTCAATTCGCCTGTTCTTGGATCAATGTTTGCGACGTGGCAAGTCGAATACCATTGACCCCTGTAGGCATCTTTTGATGCGGATAGCATTGGCTCGGGCCGCAGATGGCTGTGCAAGAGTGTGGCAGCGTGTGTAGTGGCAATTTCCGCAAGTTTGGAGTCTTGCGCATGATGTGCCGCATAATACAGCAGATCGAGATTACACATGCTGTCGATGATAACGATCATATTCTCATCTTGGTCGATGATCTCTATGTTCTTCTTCTTCAGCAAGTCCCAGCTTCTAATGGCACCAGCTGTAGGAACATATCGCGTCGCCAGACTATGCGCAGCCTTGACGATAGAATCCAGACTCTGCTGATTTCCGAACAGTTCCCAGTCAGTGCGGAGTGCTGGCATGACAATGAAACCGATATCATGGGTATCGGTTCGCTCGTCCATACCTCGAATCGGCTCGGCCCAGGTGCGACATAAGATAGTGAGTTGATTTCGAAGATGTTTCAGATCAACCGAACTAGAGAGATGCATACGCTGAGGGTATTTAATGAGCCTCTCCAACATGCTGTACATGGTCCCGGGGAAGAAGCCGCAAGTCCAAAAGTCAGCTTCGCGTAAGCTATAGCTACCATCGTGGTTGTCCTGCTGTGGGACAATCTCTGGAAATGCGGTAGGAAGGGAGGACATAGCAGCCTGTGCGGTTCGAAGGACTTTGGCCATGATGTTTTCAGTGAACAGCTCCGGTACGAGATCGGCTATCGCAGTGTTTGAGGTGAAGTGATGGGTTGCGCAGTCCAGGTTCCCGCTTTCTGATGGCGGTGCACTGCTGCTTGGTGTCGTCGTGTCATGCTCAGATGAGTCTTCCTCAACGCTGCTTCCTGAGGACCCTACGCTCGCTGCTGGGACAGCTTCCTCCGTGAGAGCGAAGCCGAGATTCTCGGAAACATCGTGTTGAGTTCTTTCTTGTACTGGCTTGAGTATCAAGAGGTCGTCTTCTGGCTTCACATCTTCCGCTAGTTTGGAAGGCGCTTGCGATGAATCGTCTTGTGGTTCGACGAGGTTCGTCACGAGTGGATCCATGTGATCGGTTTAACGTAGCGTGATATCTTCGTTGCTGGCACTCCAAAGTCAGGGAGGATGCTGAATTCTCGCAATAGGGATGGCGTTTGCTACGCGCGGTCGTCTGTAACGTGAGAGAATCGAATCGAAGCTAGAACGATCACCCCATGAAAGGGATGCGGCTACTATGTACATAGCCATGGCGAATTTCAGGTGATGTGGTTTCGGGGTATGGAAACGCGAACTGCCAATGCTCCGAGACGTGTGTCTTGTGTGAGATGGGACGAATCTAATGTTCGCGATAGCCCGAAGCCCGCTGCCAAGGGTCCGAAACGACGCCAGCAACAGCCCCACACGCTCGTGATTGGGTTTCCACCAACTGTGTACTGCAGCCCTTACCCCATGGGAAAGCGCCACAACCCGCGGGGTATGCAGCAGCAAGGAACTCTGACCGACACGACTGGCAAAGGATAGGAAACCAGAATGGCAAAGACTTGGTTTTCGCTCAGTGTTCATGGCAGAGCTCATGATACTTAAACTCGGGTGGAGAATACTTTGTTGTGAAGAAACTCCAACGAAGCAGCACTTCCAGCGCCTGCATTATACCACCGCACCAAAGTTCTTTCTTGACGACCGCGCACGACAATGCCGCCTTCTCAAGATGAGATCAAGGTCATGACGCCCGACGGCGAACGCAACGTCGTCATGGTCAATGGCAAAGAGATTGTCGTAAGCTCCGCCACCGAGAAGCCTAACCGCTCTTTCTGGGTTGCTTGGATGTACATCTTCGATGTGAGTTTTGCAGGCGCACATGGTTATGGCATTCGCTCATAGTGTACAGTGGTATCCGAGTCATTACTCTCCCGAAGAAAAACGATTAGTACGAAAGCTCGACTGCGTCTTGCTTACTTTGTGTTGCCTTTGCTTCTACATAAAGTGGCTGGATCAGAACGCACTCAATACCGCGTATTGGTCTGGCATGCGGGAAGAGTTGGCGATAAAGGGCAACGAATATTCGCTCTTCGGGACTTTGTAAGTATGGCTAAAAAGCCTTGCCATGAAACAATGTCTCATATCATCCAGCTACAACATCGGTTACATGATCTTCGAAATACCGAGCATGATGATCATCTCACGTCCAAAGCTGGCTCGCTATTACGTTCCGACCATGGAATGCGCCTGGTCTATCCTGACTTTCACGCAGTCCCGCTTGAGCAGCGTACCGCAGATCTACGGGCTTCGCTTCCTTCTCGGTGTCCTAGAAACGCCTGCTTCGACTGGCTCGATCTATCTTCTCACTTCCTGGTACCGCGCTGATGAGGTGTTCAAGCGCGCCGGTGTCTGGTATGTTTCGAGCAATGCTGGCGCTATGTTTAGCGGCTATCTACAAGCCGCTGCCCACAAGAACCTCGACGGAGTCCATGGGATGTCGGGATGGCGCTGGTAAGTATTGGCTGTACGAAATGCATGTGAGACATACACTGACTTCGTGTGTTCACAACTGCAGGTTGTTCATTATCGATGGATCCATCTCTTTGCCTATTGGTCTCGCTGGCTTCTTCCTATACCCTGGACTTCCCACTAGTCCAAAGGTTTGGTGGCTGACAGAAGACGAGAGAAAGCTCGCCGTTGCACGCATGCAAAGCCAGGGTACGAAGCAGAGCGGCAAGATTGGCAAACGTATGCTTAAACGCGTATTCACTCACTGGCACTTCTACGTCGCGGTCTTGACATACGTTTTCTTCCAATGTACGAGCTACGTTGGTGGTCAGATGCAAGCTTGGCTCAAGAAGGAAGCCGATCTCAACGGTACCTACACCATCGAAGAGATCAACCTCATCCCCACCGGAGTTCAGGGCCTGGCCATCGTCTGTGGCATTTTCATCACTAGCTTGGTGATGATATATCCGATGTGGATCGTTTTTTCAGTCGTTACAGCAATCTTGCTTTTCGCAAATGTGTGCTTGCGAGTGTGGTACATCCCACTTGGCCTTCATTGTGAGTAACATCATTTCCAAGGTGTAAGAAGACCCAGCTAACATCCCTGCAGTTACTTGCTATTACCTGCTTGGCCTGACATCTTGCGTCACCCCCATCCTGTTTCCGTGGGTAAACATGATAATGAAGGATGACAACGAAGCACGAAGTTTCACCACTGGTGCAATGATGACCATCGGTTGGGCCTTCTTCTCCTTCTATCCAATTACAGTATTTCCTATCCTGGAAGCGCCGCAGTGGACTAAGGGCTATACTGTCAACATCGTCTTCATCATTTGCTACTGGATTCTCTTTATGGTTGGACAATACCTCTGGCGCCGCGAGGAGAAGACTAAGAAGTTTGACATCAACAGGCAAGAGGACGAAGATGTTCTTAACAAACCAGAAGCAGTGCACATCGAGGTTGCAGATGACAAGACTATGAAGGAAGGTAGACCTTGAGTTCCGGAGAATACCAGCATTCACAAGATTATGAATATCTGAATCGTCGGAATGATCATGTTTGTCTCGGGGTTAAGAACTCGGTTGATACAGTTTCAACGGCTTGGCGATCTCGGGCTATCTTCGCGATATGTCTATCCGAAGTGAGGAGCTGCTAGATGATAAAGCACCTCGACGCCTCTTAGAAGGAAATTATGAGATATTTGTTCCTGTGGTCATTACATCCCCTCAACCTGACCCTGCACAGTCATTGCGACAATATGCCGCCCCTTCCTGGGTTCTCTGATAATCAATTTCGCACGAGAGACGACTTCATACGTGCAGCTTCAGCACTCATCAGCCCTTTAGGCCAATACAGATCACCCGGTCACGCACGAATAAGAGTTGCGACATGCACAGGTGCCGGATTCAGCGAGACGGCAGCTCAGCTTGAGGGCTTCGCGCGACCGCTTTGGGCTGTTGCCATCTTACTCCAGCTCAAGCAACAAAGCAACCAGAGCACAAGCGCTCCATTGAAAGGTGCATTAGAACCCTGGGTGGTTGGCATCCGGGCTGGAACCGACCCGCAGAGTCCAGAATACTGGGGCGATCTGTCCGACTTTGACCAGCGCATGGTGGAGATGGAGTCTATTGCTTTTGCCCTGCTTGCAAATCCCACTGTGTTCTCTTTCGACAGTGAACCAACTACCCAAGCCAATCTCATTGCATGGCTTCGGCAGATCAATGAGCATAAGATGCCTGAAACAAACTGGCTGTGGTTTCGCGTATTGGTCAACATCGCGCTAGTCAAGACGCTTCATGTACCATTGGATGAGGTGAAAGCGCACATCGACAAGAGCTTGGAGAAACTAGACACATTCGATATCGGCGAGGGGTGGTCTTCGGATGGTCTCTGGTCCGAACAAAGAAAACAAGCCGATTACTACAGTGGGAGCTTTGCGATACAGTTTGCGCAACTTCTCTACATTCGTTTTGCCCCCAAATACGATTTAGCTCGTACTTCCAAGTACATAGAGCAAGCGCGTGAGTTTGGGAAGGAGTATTGGAGGTACTTCGACCCCCAAGGTGCAGCAATCCCGTTCGGGCGAAGTCTAACGTATCGCTTCGCGTTCGCCGCCTTCTGGGCAGCTGTCGCATTCGCTGGCGTTGAGCTACCAGCTCCAATTAAGGAGATGGGATCGGTGAAGGGCCTGTTGCTCAGACACTTACGGTGGTGGGCGAAACAGCCACACATTTTCAACACTGATGGGACGCCTAATATTGGATTTGCGTACCCGAACATGTACCTTGCTGAGGATTACAACTCGCCGCAATCAGTGTATTGGTGCCTGAGAAGCTTCTTGGTTCTCGGCCTGGATGACACGAATGCATTTTGGCAGGCAGAGGAACTTGGTCATCCAAGGACTAGGAAAGACATCATGCGACTCGACAATAAAGTTGGAGACATCAAAGTTCTCTGGCCTCCACGCCAAATACTGTGCAACACTCGAGAGCACACATTCTTGCTTTCTTCGGAGCAGTCAACCACCAAAAGGTTCAAGGCTCGCGAAGCCAAGTATGGTAAGCTTGCTTACTCTTCTGCTTTTGGCTTTAGCGTACCATGCGGTCCGTCACTAGAGCAGATAGCACCAGATTCGACGTTACTAGTCTCACTTGGGCTCGAGGAAGACGACTGGAAGGTAAGGTGGAGCCCTTACGATGTCGAAACTGGAGAGGTGTACATGAAGGAGTGCGGCGAGACGGTACCGATCTTGATGAGTCGCTGGAAGCCATGGAAAAGGCTTAATGTGGTCATTGAAACGCTTCTAGTGCCGCCCATGCGAAGATGGCCTGGGTGGAGTGTGAGGGTGCACCACGTGAAGTGCACGACGCCTCTCTCGGCGAGAGAAAGGCTACAGATCGTGGAAGGTGGCTTCGCAGCAAGTGCGCAGGCGGCAGATAGTGTTTCTATCTTCGAAGAGCCATGTGCGTCCTTTCCTACTGGAGCCGATCACAAGGAAAAGAACTTCGGGTGGTGGAGTGACCGGGATAGCGCTTTCATACTCTCAGAGTCTGGCGCAAGCGGTGTTATCAATTTGACGGGTCCTAGCTTGCGCGACGCATCAGCGAACGTGCTCGTTTCGAGCAGGGCGACTGTTATTCGTGCAGACCCTAACACGTAAGTCTTGCTTCTCTTTCAGCTGGATCACAGGTCGTAGGGAGGCCTCCGCGCAGCGGATGCATAAAGTCGTACTGCGGTAGCTGACTCCAGACCCGCACAGGAATCTCATCGCGCAACGCACCCTAATACCAGTCGCGCAACATGAGATGAGGGCAAAAGGAGAACGCATTCAGTTTGATTTTATCACTGGTGTATTCGCGATTGACGCGTCGGCGAATGTAAGCGCGCAAGATGTGTGGCGGATGTGGCAAGATCGACCCTCTGGTGAGGTTCTCCAATCGTGCGAACGGAAGTGGAAAGACTATAGAGGCGCCCGATAGAACTACGTAGATAGTAGTCGTGGCTTGACAAATGTGCATGTAAGTGACGTTTACATCCAGACAGAAAGAGTTCAAGTTGAGAGATCAATCGCCCAGGGACATGTCCTTGATCATGTAAGCGCATCCAGACAACGAACTATACACAGAGACGCGGTAGCAAAAACCTTCAAGGATCACTACCTCAACTTAACAGATAAACTGGGGTACCAAGTCTATGTAAGCAAAGTTCGATCGCCAAGTACAGCCAAGTCGCCATCGAGACGATATGTTTATAGTGGAGACAAGTCCGGAAGCTGTCTGATCCGCCGTCACACAAATATAGCCGTCTCCGAAACTTCGAATCTGCCTGAATTCTTCCACGTGATACGTCGACGCCAAAGTGTCCGACTTTTTTCGTCCGGGATCGACCACAACATTGTTGCCGGAACTAGAGATACCCAAGATCGTTTCTGCATAAAGACTGCGTAGTGAGCTTTCTAATTTCGGAACTCACCACAATCTCTTGCAGCAGGTAGGACAGTGAGGATCCATATTTCAATGTCAGACAACATCATGTCAAAGCAAGTTGCCATCGCTGGTGGTTCTGGCAGTAAGTCTACATATACGTTTGCTTAGAGATGCTTTGCTAATTGGTACAGATGTGGCTCAAGAGGTGATAGATGCAATTTTGTCCCGGGGTAGCTACAAAGTTGTAGTTCTGAGTCGAAGAGTTGGTAAATCTCCTCTATCTGGCCGCCAGGGTATTGATTATGATAGGATGCTGTAAACAGTGAGACGACACACGTTGAATGGAGAAAGGTCAACTATCACAGCCATGCTTCACTCGTAACATCCCTTGATGGAATCGATACCTTGCTGTCTTTTGTAGCAACCGCTGACATGGAGGCGGCCTTCGAGCTGCAAAAAGTGCTGATCCACGCAGCTATCGAAGCGGGCGTACGAAGATTCGCCCCATCTGAATGGTCGTCGTGAGTTTTGCTTTACGTCAAGCCGAGATCCCACAGTATCGAAATACTAACATAACATCGCGAAGGCGCTCGGAAAGTGGCATTGCTCACTACGCATACAAGGATGAAACGCGCAAGTACCTCGAAGCAATAAACAAAGAGAAAGATGTAAGCAGCTAAAACCGGTATTTGTGACGTAAGTCAAGCTGACGATATAGCAAATCGAATATTGCCTCTTTCAGCCCGGCTTCTTCACCGAATACTTCGCAGTACCGAATGCAACGGCCAGTCACCTTCAGAGCTTCAAGATGTTTGCCGACTTTGAGTATCGCCGCGCCATCATAATGGAGGGATCGGAGGGATCTCCACTCACACTCACGACGGTCGGAGATATGGCTAAGGTCGTGGCTCTTGCACTGGATTACAGCGGCAGGTGGCCCACAACTGGAGGTATCCGGGGAACCCAAACAACTATTTCCGGATTTTTGAGCCTTGCCGAAGGGATTCGAGGTAAATTGCTACTAAGTTTGTTGTTGGTAATGCTAAAAGAAGTTCAGGTCCATTCCAGATCGAACGACTGGTCCCAGAAGACGTGCATAAGGGGGAGCTGAAGGCGTCATGGTATCCCATTATTGAACATAAAGCTCTTCCAGATGAGTACAGGGAGCTGTTCTCGAAGAATGTAACGATGGAATATGTCAAATCTCTGGCCGCTGGTGGTTGGTCTACCAGCGATGAATGGAATAGATTGCTGCCTGATTACAAGTTCATCTCGGCAGAGGAATATTTGAGCAAAGTTTGGAAAGCCACTTGAAGTCATATACATATAGTTTGCTTCTATAAACAATGATTTGGGTGCTTAAAACGTGACTGGGACTAGCTCTAAAACTCTGTAGGAACTACAATCCTGAGACACCATCAAGATGTCTTCTGATACCACGCCTACTGTCTTCATCGTCTATGGTACCAGTCCGCAAGACTTTGCTGTCATCACAGGCCTCTTTCCTAATATCACTGCAAGGTCCTCGCAAGCGGTGTTGCTTCCGCTCGCGCAAAAGAACTTGCTACTCTCCTCATCGTCTCTTGCATATGGGCACATCCACAGATAAGAGTATGCTGCGGGTTAACTATTCCGGATGTTGTGATGCTTGCGATTACATCGATACCTTGAATAGTGACGAGAAAGCTGAAAGGCAATGAGCTGTGCGTTAATGTGAGCTCGCTTCAGAGAGTGGGCTGGGCGTCAAGAGGTGACGCATGATATACTCTTGCGAAAAGCACACTAAGCAATAGGCATTTTCCTCACTGTCAGAACCAGCTTACTTCATTGAAGGATTTGTGGTAAAGCACCATATACAAAAGATCATGGAAATATGCTTAAAACACAGCATGCGCTCGGTATTGACTAGATATTGTCTATGAACCAGTCATACGCGGCCGTCTACTCGCGATCTTCTTCAACGGAATTATAAACCATGATTAGGTTGGAATCCATGATTCTGTCTCGACTCCGGCGCCTCCAGTGGTTCGTCCAGAGCCTTCACCTCCCACGAATCAACACCATACTCCTTATCCAAGCCACCCATGAACTTCTTCGCCGCGTCACCTACCAGGCACGCCCTCTCAATACTCTGCATACCACCAATCTTGGACTCCGGGATCCGTAAGCTGCCTTTCACCCACTCGTAGCTCACGCCATCCGCGCTCTTGTTCTGTTCGCGCTTGAAGCCCTTGAGTGGTACGGGCTGATACTCGTTGCCTAGCTGCTGCATTCTGTACCATACAGTGGGATGGACCTCCTCTTCCGTTTTTCCTGTTGCGCCTTCAGGAGGGTTCTCGTCGCGGTATTCGCCTGGTGTGCGGTACTTTGAGCCAGCTTTCTTCATATTACCTTCGAAGCTGTCGACGATGGGTCCCGTTCCCCAGCCTTGCAACGCGTCTGCCGCGAGCACCTTGGATCGCGTCTTGTTGCCGTCGTTCCAAAGGTCAGTTCTGTCTTTTGCGAGCATGTTGTCGATTCTCTTGACGAGCCAATTGTTCTTGTATTGGCGTGATCGCCGAGGAGACTCTCGATGATGGGTTGCAAGAGGAAGAGGCGATCCTGGTTCAAGAGGGTTACGGCGTTCGGTTCGAAAGCGAGATGCTCTTTGAGTTGCTCTAACATCCAAGCGAGCGTGATAGTAGAGATTTCTGTTTGGCACTTAGTGAGTCACTTCATTCAATAGAAACTACTTGGTTTGACTCGCGCTCAAAGTCGCCTAGTTTGTCTTTAAAGACATCATCACTTCCTCCACCAATATTGATGTGGACGCCAGGGAACCAGACTTGCTTGAGTTCTGAATTGCTGCCTCTGAGCTCTTCGTGCATTTCAGCGTTAACAAGGTTTTCCCAGGCTTTCTGAATCTCGGCTTCAGGAGTATCGTCCGTGTCGCGAAGCTGGGTCAATTTCTCTTTCAGCTCAGACACTGGCTTATGAGCTTTTGCTGTGCCGTCACTTGCATAGAGATGCCACATGGTGGTATCGAAGGGTTTCCTGTGCTCATCCAGGGCCATTGCATGGTACGCGTGTTTGATGTCTGTAGACCAGAATCAACACACTAAATCTCCGCAAGTCAAGGTATAGATAGAACTCACAAGGGCTGAGCGCGACATTTCGGAAGCCAAATTCCTCGGCAGGAATCTTTTGAGCCAGGAAGTTGATGGTATACCTGAACCAGCCTTCTACATCCGGGACACCGAGGGATCCGACGGTATCGAAGACACCAACGGCTTCAACCCACCGAGTTGACTCTGGTGCTGCACCATGAGGTCGTTTCTTCCATTGATATGGAGATTGTCTAAATCCTTCAGGAAGGTCTTTCTGAGCTGCATCGAAGAGGCGCACGCCGTTGACCCACTCGCGCCATGCTTTTGACTTCCTGAACATGTTGCTGTTCTTGTAGTGCTGATAGGTACGGTACAGTTCCGGAAAGTCCCTACATCCAATAGTAAGTAGGTGATTATTCTGTTTTAGGAACAATCATGACGGGACAGAGTAAAAAGCTAAATGAGCAATGAACGTACTGCATATCTCTCGGCTTGACAATGCCAATGTCTGTGACTAACCCAGCAACAGCACGCGCCGTATAGGCGCCACGCGAGAATCCGAAGCAGAACATCTGATCACCGGGATTGTAATTCAATACAATGAGTTGTACGCCTCAATGACATTGCCCACGAAACCAGAGCCGGTCATGCCTTCTCGGGCGGCCTCAATGAGCTAGCACCCGTACCAATGCCGGCATCGTAGTAAACAAGCTGCTGCCATTGCTCGCCCTTCGCATCCTTGCCAACCTTAAGGAGGTATCGTGCGATCCGGGTTATGTTTGACGGAACATTGTCAACGTTAGTAACGGACGATTGCCATGTGCCATCGCAGCAAATGACGATGCGTTTTGGAGCAGGTTTCAAGGTGGTGTCTTGGAAGCCGCTCGGCCTGAAATCTTGATCGAAATTCATTCTGTAAACAAGCTCTAAGTGAGAGATGTCAAGATCAACGGATTTCTTCCCCGACTTATTACTTATACTGCTGAGAGCTGCATTCACCTAGGCCCTTCGCTCGCTTCATGTGGAATGGGAATCTGTGGCGCTCGTAAGAAGTACAGTAGCATCTTCTCACCGCTTTAATGCTAGCCAATTAGCGACACCTCTATCGAAGGCCAGACCACTTGAACTGTCCAGCCAGCCAAGCGAAGGCAATGGGCAGCGGTAGTACACTCGTGGAGATAGGCTAATGCATTGCTTTTCAGCTGAACTTTGATGCGCCCTGCGCAAAACGATTCTAGACGGGCCGCCGATCTGCGGCTGCAGTGCGGCAGTGCCCGTGCACTACTGGGCGGGTGCGCGTCACGAGCTAGTCCGCGTACTAAGCCGCGTTTGCAAGTAAAAAGCAATATATCTGAACTGCATATGCAAGTGTATAAGACAAGAAAAACAGAACTTAATCTACAATATATATAGAGAAAAGATAACTTAATATATAAAAAAGGGTTTTAT